GACGTGAGAGACATTATGAGAGAGAAATAGTGATATGAAATGAAAGGACTTTACTGTGAATAAAGATTATAAGAGAAAGAGATAAAGATGACGGCAAGACAGGATACATATTGATACGAAAATAACAATAATAATGAGATAGAGATGACGGAAAGAAAGAGAGTAAACACTGATAGCATAAGAATGAATAAAGATAATAAGAGAAAGATATAGAGATGACGGCAAGACATAGGGTACATATAGATAGGAAAATGATAATAATAATAAGATAGAGATGACGGAAAGAAAGAGAGTAAACACTGATAGCATAAGAATGAATAAAGATAATAAGAGAAAGATATAAAGATGACGGCAAGACATAGGGTACATATAGATAGGAAAATGATAATAATAAAAAGATAGAGATGACGGAAAGAAAGAGAGTAAACACTGATAGCACAAGAATGAATAAAGATAATAAGAGAAATATATAGAGATGACGGCAAGACATAGGATACATATTGATAGGAAAATAATAATAATAATAAGATAGAGATGACGGCAAGAAAGAGAGTAAACACTGATAGCATAAGAATGAATAAAGATAATAAGAGAAAGATATACAGATGACGGCAAGACATAGGGTACATATAGATAGGAAAATGATAATAATAATAAGATAGAGATGACGGCAAGAAAGAGAGTAAACACTGATAGCATAAGAATGAATAAAGATAATAAGAGAAAGATATAGAGATGACGGCAAGACATAGGGTACATAATTATAGATAGGAAAATGATAATAATAATAAGATAGAGATGACGGAAAGAAAGAGAGTAAACACTGATAGCATAAGAATGAATAAAGATAATAAGAGAAAGATATAGAGATGACGGCAAGACATAGGGTACATATAGATAGGAAAATGATAATAATAATGAGATAGAGATGACGGCAAGAAAGAGAGTATTACACTCATAGCATAATAATGAATAAAGATAATAAGAAAAAGATATACAGATGACGGCAAGACATAGGGTACATATAGATAGGAAAATGATAATAATAATAAGATAGAGATGACGGAAAGAAAGAGAGTAAACACTGATAGCATAAGAATGAATAAAGATAATAAAAGAAAGATATAAAGATGACGGCAAGACAGGATACATCTTTCTTTCATTAGTTTTATTCATTCTTATTCTATCACTGTCTACTCTCTCTCTTGCTGTCATCTCTAGCTCTTTCATTAATTTTTATTCATTCTTATTCTATCAGTCTACTCTCTTTCTTGCTGTCATCTCTATCTCTTTCTTTCATTATTTTTATTCATTCTTATTCTATCACTGTCTACTCTCTTTCTTGCTGTCATCTCTATCTCCTTCTTTCATTTTTTTTATTCATTCTTATTCTATCAGTCTACTCTCTTTCTTGCTGTCATCTCTAGCTCTTTCATTAATTTTTATTCATTCTTATTCTATCAGTCTACTCTCAGGGAACACTTTTATCACTAGAGTCTTCGTCACTGCTCGATTCGTCGGAATCAGAGTCCATGCTCCATGCTTCCATAGTAACAAGATCTCGAGCCTCCTCTACACTAAACACACGTTGACGTTTTCCAGCAGGTGCCATCGTAACATCAGTAAAAAAAATCCAAAGAAAACCGCTAAATACACGGTAATTTCGAATGTAACACTATGAAGAAAAACAGTTTACCGGAAAGTGTGCGATGTATACAATGTAAACAATAGTAAACGCAACGCGTGGCTACACACTGCGAGCGGTATTATGAATGTCTAATTGACTCGTATACATCTGTGCAAAAATGCGAAGTTGGCACGCCTACGTCCGTGCAAATCGGCGAACAAAGCAAACAAAGAGTTAAGAGAGAAAAAAGGATACATGGTCTTGGTCAGCTAGTTTTGAAAGAAGTAATACTATTGAGAGGCGGTGTGCTGATTTAATAGGATGTTTTGTCTTTTTAAAGCTGCTCGTCTAGCTGATCTAGGTGATTTCTACCCGACCGGGACTGATTAGCGTTATGAATTATTTTTCACATCTTACACTCTACTTTCTCTTTAAAAAACGCATTTGGCATCCCATCCGTCTCCCCTCTCATCAATTTCCTTCATGTTTGCCTACCTTTGAGGCTGTTTACCTGATACATGAATGTCGAATAGTGTCCTCGATCCCCTCAATCCGATTTTGTTTGTCTGAAGATTTCTGTCTTGGCCTGTCATGTGGTCTCTTCTCCCTGCCGCTGGCTCCCTCTCTTCTTTCTCTCCCTCCATGTCCCCCTCTCTCCCTCCCTCTCTTCTTTCTCTCCCTCCCTCCCTCTCTGTCTCCTTCTCTTCCATGTCATTCTTCATCTCTTTCTCTCATCCCTATCTCTTCCCCTTCTCCCTCCTTCTTCCCTCCATCTTCCATCCCTCTTTCCCTCTCTCTCTTACTCATCTCTCTACCTCAATTGACTTCTTTCTCATTCCCTTCTGTAACACATTTAAAGTAAATGAAGTACCCATAATTGTTGTTAATAAAGACATTTGCTTTCATGTTAGGGAGGATAGCCAAGTTTTCAGTACATTCTATCTCATTTATAATCATGCAGGTAAAAATCATAGCGAGCAGTCCTTCAACTCTACAGCCAGCTAATTGCGCATGCGAATCTTTACCTCCATCTCTGTAAGGAGGGCATCTGCAATGCGTCATCCTTTGCAAGCCGCAAATGTCAAGTTGCTATGACAACTGTACCTTTTTACAAGTCCCAATATTATTCTAAATTAATTAGTCTTGTCCGTAGCTGGAGGTGAATATTCTCTGTGAGAGGAGTCAGCGCTTGGTTGCCTAATTTGCCTGAGATCAAGGAACCACATTGTTGGAACAAACAGGGTGTTTATTTTCCTGGTTGTTTGTAGGGTTTGTAATGGGTTGAATTAACAGTTGCTATTAAATTCATGGGTGTTCTTTGAAACCTTTTGCCTGTGGGATGCTGATAGTCCTTGTATAAAGCCTATGGGAAGTGGAAAATGCAGTATTATGCAGGTTAAGATACCAGTTGAGCTAAGGAAGAATACAAAGGAGTGAAATCAGCAAACTACCTTCAGATAACGAGAGTTAGTTACATAACAGTGTTCCTATTAAATGAGGTTTCTTTTTATGTCACACCTGCAAGTTGCTGATGAAGGCAAAGGAGTAGCAAGAAGAGTTGAAGATTCAACTCCCCCCCCCCCCCGAAAAATCATAGCATTGCCTTTGCTGTAAGGTATTGTAAAGATCACTATCGTGGTGAAGCAGACAGTAAATTGGCAACACAGCCTCTAGCAGCTCTCATCCTTTTCTTGATTTATGGGATTCCGGCTGCTAGTTTTCATCTCTCGTTTATCTTTACTCTAATATTCGTGGGTCTGACTGATGACAGGTTGAGCCGTGGGGCAGAGTTCTTTATTATTTCATCAAGTTTTTGCCCTCTCTGAAGTCTACCAGCCCCCAACCATACAGCTCATCTTTCGTCATAGTCCCACTTGAGTGTCTGGGTGTGGGAGGGCTGGAGTAGGTTGTTTACCGTCCTTTCGGAATTAATCAGGGATGCCAAATAGGATCTATTTTCTAGCAGTTATCCATTGCTCTTACAACTAAAGTTAAACAGAAACAATATATTTCTCTATTAGGGAAAGATTTTTTGTTAAGGATATCCAAATTATGTATTTTGGATTGTACTGTCTGTGTTTTTCCATAATTAACAGAGGTAAACTGATGGGATAGAATTTTGCAAAAAAAAATAAAAAAATTGTCAAGTAGACAGTACTGTATTATTTTTTCCATAAAAATCCATAAAATTGCAGAATTTTGGGCTGTTATTTGGTTGAAATTGATTGCCAGACTCTTTCAGAAGTTGCTTGTTCTGAGAGAATGTGTCATTATCTTAATGTTCTGAGTGGAATTATCCATACATGTAGCATGATGGTGTAGATTGAGGGATAGAGACAGAGGGAAGGGATAGAGAGAGAGGGGAGGGGGAGAGGGAGAGGGAAGTGAGAGAGAAGAGAGAGAGAGAAAGAGAGAGGAGAGAGAGGGGGAGAGGGAGAGAGAAAGAGACAGAAATATGAAAAAAGGGGACGAAATGTGCTTGGAAAAACATATTGCCCTTGAAGAGCTATTCAAATAAAGGAAACTGAATATGAAAATACATCTTGAACAGAACAGTTTTCATCTAAAAAAAATCTTTTAACCATTCATCATTTGGAATGTCTTTCAAATGGATTTTTGAAGTAACATATTCCCATCTAAAGTAGATAGCTCATTAAACATTGTATTTCATATTCATTGCCAATTTTTACAGCTAAACGGAACGTGTGAATTTAGCACCCTGACTGAAGAAAAAAAAGGATTTGCATTAGTGTATACATCATCGTTAACACCTAAGACAAAACAAATAGATACGTACATGTAACACCAGGATTGCTTAATTTGATTGATTTAATTACCATTGAACCTAACCACAATGATCATATTGTATCTTCTGTGCTGTACACAAACACATACTGTACCCTTCACTGTGTTGTATGTGTGATAGAAGTCAGTCGTGTACACGTGAAGAGAGAGAGGCTAGCTTAGGTTTCATGCCTTGCGTCTTTTGATCCATTGACGTAATACTGTGGTGAATATTTCACCCACTTCTAAAATCAACCTTTGCGGAGGCGATACACTAGCTTTACATTACTTCTCATGCATTTAACTAGAATGTATGCTCGTGTGGAGAATTGTTTACACAAACCAAAATAAATAAAATTCATTCCCTTTTCTTTGTGATTTTGATATACATATCATTTAAAAAGCATATTTAAGACTACTCTTTTCATACTTTTTTTATTTTCTTTAGAAAGTAATAATGTTTCTGGAAATGATTTCCCTACAAATAAGACTATTTTTTCAAAACAAAAACACATTAATTTTGTTCTTTCTTAATATAAAAGTAGTATATTTTCTGTTGGTTGAATTTATTTTTTGTTTGTCTTTCAAGCAGTTATGGACGAACCAGGAAAGGAAAAAACAGTTCCCCGGTGATGAAACGTTCAAATTCTCCTGGTTCTCATGGCGATGGTATGTATCTACCTGGTATGTCACTCTGTTTGTAATATGTATTTGATATGAGGCATGAGAATCATAAACAAAAACATAACAACATCATTTATACTAACATACCAAAGGAAAACATTTTGTTGGAGAAAAAAATATCTCAAAAGCAATAACAATATTTTAATAATTAAACAATGATTACTTTTCAAGGATCTACATGGAGAATTGAAATGAAGTAATTTATCAATTGGATGGCATAATTGCAAATATTCCAAGTCATGATAATGCGAGAAAATCTGGGGTGTTTTTTTTTCTTCTTGAAATATGTACTTCAGCTGTCTTTTAAAAAAATACTTCTTATATCTCTAATACTAATATGATTTTACAACTGGTGAAATTCAATTCATTTTATGGCCTGTGGAGAATAAACAAAAGTAAAATGAAATGATTTGTGGAAATATCTGAATGTATCTTTTGTTTATACATAGTTTATGACATAACCCTCTTTTTATAACCCTGAGGGTGTGATTTGATAAAAGATTCAAATGTAGTTGCTTTTTTTTTGACGCATTCTGTGATACCCTCCGGCTTTCTCACACCAGAGATAAAGCTGACTGAATGTATGACTAATAATCAATAAAAGCCGACACATGAAGGCATATAATCAATCACATGAATAAACTACTGACACGGAAGCCTTTATTGATCAATAATATCACTGGATATGATGACACATCTCCATTGAGAGGTAAAGATCATGAAACAGACACCATGTGTGTTCTTACAGTCATTTAGGTGCTGGTCCCTGTTTCATAGAATGTGTTATCAATAACAAGTTACAATAATCACTACAAGCTACTGAAATTGATACATTTGATTGGCTGAGAGCAATTTTGTGATGAGAATTTGGCATTTGTTATTGATGACTAGTTTTATGAAACAGGGCCCATCTGCTGAGAGCTAAAATGGCATTCTAGTATCCTTTAACCCTTTAACTGCTTTGATCGACATATAGAACAAAAACAGTGGATTGCCACAGTCAACATTTGTCACATGTACACCGTAAATCATGTACCATGATATTCCTAACAATGTTTGAGGCCAGGGATTCGATCCATGGCAAATGAAATGTTAACTTTTAGCTACCACTTTTTCGACTCAACAGACAAGAACTGTTTCTACAAAAGGAATAAAGATGCAGACATAGGACACATTGTTTATATTGGATTATTATTCATTTTACTTGTATGAATTATTACTTTGTCATGGAATGAAAGTACTAACAAACAAGGAAAATTTACTAAAAACCATTAAATGATTTATGTGATTATTCATTCTGCATTGGTTGATGTTGATGTATTTGTGATGGAAAAAAAAATATCATCTTTTAAAGGTAGAAAGGTTCAGCTCAAAATGAGTCTTCACATTTTTATACTATACTTGCATTAATTCAAGGTAGAGTCTATAGAAAATGTGTGTTATACTCTGATCAAATCATATGGAATGTGCGAACAATCTTTCTTTTGTACAGGGAGTCCTTTGGAGAGTCCTCGAGTGCCGATCCACCCTCATGCCCACTTTGCCTTTAATTCTGTACGTCAGGCTGACGGTAGAAGATGGTCTCTGGCATCCCTGCCGTCATCAGGGTACGGTACGAACACACCCAGTTCAGCTGTATCGGTAAGCTCACACTCATGCATGTTATCGTTTCATGAAACACCTACCCACCCTCATGCCCTCTTTGCTTTGTCAGGATACGGTACGAACACACCCAGTTCAGCTGTATCGGTAAGTTATTACTTGGACATCCTTATTGATTCCCCAAGCCCTCCAAAACTTCTTTTCAGATTCAAAGCTGTTTTCTTAGCTTAGTCATGACTGTTACCATCTAGGTGCATCCAAATCTTCTTTTAAAAAATGACAAACTTTTGTTGCCTCTACAGTTATCTTGAGTGTTGCAAAATTATACTTTATTATTTTATTTTACTTCATTATTTCTATACGATGTAAAGTCTTCTCATGTTTCTTTGATATATATGATACTAAAATGGGAAAAGTTATGATACCAAGTGTCTATCTATCTGCTATCTCCTGTCAGTCGTCAGTCATGTTCAAGTCAGGAGCATCTGCAGTTCTGAGAACATTTCAGTAGCAGTGAGAGTAATCTATCTACATGTAAGTATCTTCTCCCAGTTCGGAGGTTGATTGCAACATCTCTCCATTTCACTTTATCTTCTGCCATTCTGGTGCACTCTTGCAGTTTTAGTCCACTCCAGTTCTTGACATTCTCTTCCCAGTTGATTCTGGGTCTCCTTTTGGTCGAGTTCCTTCCACTCTCCCCTCCAATACATCCTTTAAGAGGCTTTGGTGCCTTTTAACAGTAATCTAAGAGTAATATAGAGACTAATTCAATGACCAACCTTGGTCTGTAATTCTTCTTTCAGTCGTCCTGTTCAAGTCAGGAGCGTCTTCATCAGCTACCCTACCAGCCCACCCCTGAGGATCTGCAGCTTCTCTCGCAGCATTTCAGTAGCAGTGAGAGTAACGTAGGAGGGGACCAGGAAGATGGCAGGAGATCACCTTCATGTAGACCTCGATCTAGGAGTCTTAGGTAAGTCTGTGGGTTGTCATACTCCTATATTTTCATCTCTGTGGTCGTCTCTCGTTGTCTTCCTGCAATACTTGTTCTTCATCTTGATCTGCGTCTTCTACATATGTTGCTGCTGCTTTTAATAGTCTTCTTTTTCATTGTCTACTGCAATTATTTTTTTCAAGTTTCTATGCCATATTTTCCTTTTCCTCTGCTATTTCTTTTCTGTATTCACTTCCCTCTTTTATCATTTACTTTCCTTCCCACATTATTCTTTAAGAACATTTCCTACATCTCATCATAATGTGTTATTAGGCCTATTTTGATTGACATTTACTTGAATTTATTCTAGAAAGAGAGACAGGGACAAAGAGAAAGAGAAAGAGAAAGAGAAAGAGAAAGAGAAATACAGAAATAAAGCCAGAAAAAAAAAAGACATGGACAGAGACAAAGAGAAAAATAAAGCCAGAAAAAGAGAGAGACAGAAGAGACAGAGAGACAGAGAAAGAGAGAGAAGAGAGAGAGAGAAGAGATTGAGAGAAGAAAGAGGGAGAAGGGGGAGGGGGAGAGAGAGATAGAGATGGTTCTTGTGGTTTATTCCTGACCATGAATACAAACATACAGAGTAAAGTTCCTGTTACACAGTGGCCAAATCAAACTTCCCCCCTCTCTCGTTACTGGGACACTTCCGTATACAGCTCGGCCATCACGTACCCTATTCCCTATCCTATCCCCTATCCTATCCCCAACCCAGTCCTCTCTCTCTCTCTCTGTCTCCCTCATGTTTGTATTGACTCTGAATTCTTACCTGCAGTGAGACGTGCTTGCAATCCAGCCACCAAGCACGTTAAAAGATGCATGCCTCCAGGCGTACTTTGAAACACATGTCAAATGTATGCTAACATAATCCATCAGCTGAGAGCCAGAAGGGTGCTTGGTTGTATCTGTTAATATCAAGTTAATGCCTTTCTGGCCTTCCAGAAGATGATTTATGTTACAGATAAACTTCAAAATCATGCTTGATATCAAATCACCTGAAAACACACATCTTTTTGCTTCTATTAAACTATTATTTTTATGTAGAATAAGATAATTATATAAATCATTAAATATAATAGTTCATCCTAAATATGAAAGATTTGTGCAAGCAGATTCAACAAAGTCTTGTTTGGCATGTTAAAAATGGAACTCAATATTATTGTGATTTGATATAGTCAAATAAAATCAGTATTGCTTTTAAGATGATGGTCAGGTGTTTAGCCTATCATCTAAGCTCCTATCCAAATGAAAAGCAGTACTTCAGAAAATAGGTTCACATGTTTAATACGACTCGATTCATTCTCACCCTACCAAAGCTGTACAGTCAACTATACAATGTCTTTGTACCCATTTACAATTCTATCCTGTCAGTGTTCACATACAATCTAAAATTTTCATTTTTATCTGCATTTTGATTTCTTTTGTCTCCTCCCTTCATACCTAATTGTATTTCATTCTTTATTCCCACCTTCTCATTGTTTGCTTGTCTGACAATCTTTTTGCTAATGGCAGCCTTTCTTGGCTATCCCTGCCCGATCGACCGATCATCTCGTTCACATCCCAGTTTGCGTAAGCCTCGATATCATATAAGAATCACCTCTCCTTTTTATATTTACTCTGCCTTTCATATAGCAAGCTGGTCTACCTACATGTTATTCTGTGCAATGTGTCTTATACGATATATGTCTTTTCCCCCCATTATCTGCATTAAAATGCTATGTTATGATCATTAACTTGTGTTTTTTTCTGGTATCAAGAGATTTTCATTTTTGGATAAAATAAATGGATAAATATCGGATATCGTATAGGACACATTGCATTGGATTCCCTTCATTAGAACCTCTTCTGTTTTTCTCCCAATTTTGTAAGGTTTTTTTATGCATGCTGGTATTGTCAGTACTATACTAACTCCACAAAGGTCTACTGTTTCTTTGGAAATGATGTCAAAGATGTTTGTAAAAATGTATGTTTGAATTTGTTTTTAGAAAGGTTTATTATTTGGTGTCCATATGAGATAAGACATGATTTTATACTATAAAATTTGGAGTACATGAAACTTTTTCAAATTTTTGTTTTATTGGGTTAGATTCGCAAAAGTTTGATTATAAATGGATTCTGGTTTTACATGTATGTAGCTTGGTATCTTAAAGCTACATAATCACAGATGTTTTCCTTTATACAAAACATTGTGTGGTGAAAGCATTGGAGAAAAATAACACATGATTTTTGATTAGACAGGAAAAACTTCCTTTCCGATTTCCTCACAAATTGTTTTAACTCACTCAGGAATCAGTCTGCATAATCTATCAAATTATTCTTATTGATGAAACATAACAGCTATATTATCAGACCATATGTTGAAAGCCAATATGGTACTAAGTATTTGTTAGATGATTTAATGCAACACTGGCTTTAAGCAGATGTAACTATTTGATTTGTCTTTAATATACAACTTTGATTACCTTAATTGTATATCAATATCAAAAAATATTGTGAAATATTCCATTTTAGCACCTGAGGTTGTAAGCTGTTCAAAGTAACATTTTTAGATTTGAGACGTAATATTCATGCATGACCATTAGTATTTTGGGAAGGTACAGATATATTTTTTTTTAATTTAGCCAATGGGAAACATGGGTCTTTGAGTTATCTTCCATCATGCTTTGTGAGGTGGGAGGCATAATATATTTTCAATTACAAATCTGCGCTACCCATATCATAACGGTAATATGCAGAATATTGAACACAAAATTAAATCATCAATTTTATTTTTTCATTTGGGATCATATTTGTAAATGGTTTACTTTGCTTATGTTGAGATGCATAGTAAATTCAAATCGAAATGTTATTTTATTGTGCTGGTATAATTTGGTTCAGGAATAAATGATGAAATTCAGAGAATTTCTGAAGTATCTTCTACTTTTTCAGTGTCATTTCTTTCACTTTTAGATCATTGGCTCAATGTTTATAACATGGAAATGATATGTGTTTATGAAGGATTTTGTTAGATGGGAACGGATTAGTGACAATGCATTTTTTAAATGAGTTTCAAAGGTGCATTTTCATCTAATGCAACTTCAAAAGATTATGACCTATAAGTTACTTTTGCTTTTAGGGTAAGGTGGTAATTTGTGAGAGCGCCTTTTGGTAATATCTGAAATTAATTTTGATGGGATTGGTGGAAAGTTGAAAACGATTTAAGAATTGAGCCAAGAAATCAACTTTTTTATTTGGTAAATCATCCTATTTTTGTGCATGTACAATATTTATAGGACATACATTGTGTACAATAACATTACTTACTTTCTTGAATACGTATGAATACATTATGTTTTCAGAAAAGTTATAGAATCAAATATCCAAGTCGACTTACGAAGATAAATAGCTTTGTTACATGAGAACTGATAATAAAGTTATAGAGTCAATTCTTTTCAAGTTCATTGTTTTAATGTATATAGAAATCATGTGATTAGCAACTCCTTTGTTTGTGCACATTTAGTATGTTTGAGTGATACACCAGATATAAAGTAATATATTAAACAGGTTACGCTTACATGTGTTTAGGTTGTCATGTATTTTCAAGATGTACACTTAACTACTAATGCAGTCACACATTTAAACTTGAAGTACAGTACAGGAGATCAGAGTCTAATCAGGTATTAATTGAATAACACCAGTATTATGTGGTATTATACATCTAGTACAGATGTTTATTTGTGTTGTCAAAAGTTATTTAGTACTTGCTTTCTATGATACAAGTAATTGTACTGTATGTATATATCCGCATATAATATGCTGTATATATCAGCATATTTATATTATGTTCCCTCTTCCCACGTCAAGTTCAAAGGAAATTAGTTGTTTTTTTTTAAATGTTTTTATGTTTTTTATAGATCCAAATGTGCGTGTTGTAATGATTAACAAAATAATACAGTCATGAAAAAATTCTTGCTATAGAGACTCCCCCCCCCCCCCCCCCCACAAAAAAGTAGATTTAAAAATCAGGAACGAAATATGTTTAATATGCATTATCTGTGTGCCTTTAAGTCACATCCTTTCAGCTATAACTCCTAGAGCATTTCTTAGCAAGACTTACATTTACCGTTCATGATAACCTGTTGAATATATTTTTTGTACAAAATAAATATATAAGAGGACCCTTATAAATACCTTACAAATATGTGTAGCTGATTAACTGAGACATTAGGTATTTAGGTTTACATTTCAATGAACTGTTTTTTTTTTTTAATGAATATAGAAGAATGCACCTTATTGTACACAATAACTTAATATGTCATCATTTACAGGGTTCTTGTTAATTTTTCTGATAGCAGGCTATTTATGATTTACAGGAGGCTACTAAAATTGCAAAAGAAAAATCTCTGTGCGCGTAGCGCACATCACCATGTGCGCAAAGCGCACATCACGAGCGCGAAGCGCGAAGTCCCTTGCGGCCGGGGTCCAGGGCCCGCCCAAGGGCCCTGGAAGCTTTAGGGTTTTAGATGCTCTCTGGTGCTATCTTAGCCTTATTTTTGAAGATATGACCACACTGTATGAGCCATAGTTTAATGATAAAGATCATGAATATTTTGGCTGAATAACTTACTTTTCATATGATATACAATATGAAATGAAAATGCTCCATTATTGTTTCTGATAAATCAATCATATTTGTGATGAATCTACAATTTTGAATTACATGATAATGATACAAGGTAGTCCTGGGCAAAAACGGTTAACTGACGTTTACAGGACCTTGTCAGTGAAGAAAATCGTTTGCGATAAAAAATTAAAAAAATTGGAACACACATAAAAAAAAATATGACAAAATTGGATTGGTAAATGGTTTGCAGGTATGTGACAGCTGTCACAGGGGTCTGGGGGTGTTACGAATACGTTATCGAATCGTGCATCGCCAAATCAATCACAGTTTCACACTCATTATTACTACCGGTATTATTTATAATTTAGCCTACATTATTATTTACATTTCAAATAAAAAACTTACCTGTACGTTGCTTCTTACGGGTCAGGGAATTTCTGGAAAGTCAGGGAATTTAAAAATGTTTTTTCCAGAAGTAAAAAGTCAGGGAAAGTCAGGGAATTCATCCATTTCTTCTGGAAAGTCAGGGAAAATCTTTTTTTTTCAAGATGTTTGTTAAAATGGCATTTAATTTGTCTTGTGAACAAAGGAAAAAACATTTGGTAAAATCTGTGGTTCACAGGACCTTTTTCGTAACACGCAATATCTTTAGGACCTACTGGTACCGTGTCTATTGTGTCTTTCATACTGTATGCAAGATGTTTGTGGGCGTGAATGACTTGCAGTGACAGGTGCGGTGCGTGGTGCCGGTGTGTGTACATACAAGAATGCTGGATGCACGCTGTACGATTACTTTTTGATCGAGCTTGTGCTTTGATTTTGATTAAAAGTTTGAATGAAGGTGTTTTACCCTGGGGTTTTACCACAGAATATTCATGAAACAATAATTTAAACGTAAATAACTATGTATCATGAGCCACTCGTGTTTTCTGAAGAACCCCTTTAAAAATTGTGTTGCTCTTTACTCGAATATCGCAACCCTGAATCGCATTTGATATACATTTGGCGTCCATTGTTCGAGCGCGAGCATACAGCCAGTAGTTAGCTAGCCTAGCCTCGTGGTTGCTGCTTTCCCCAACGTCCGCAATGAAGGCACACTTTTTTTCCCTCAGCAAAATATCCAAAGTCGGGGATGGGCCTTATATAGTCAGGTACAGGATATTTGAGTCCTCAAATGCTACTTTTTAGTGGTTTCAAAAATCTCTGTGTCTCAACATGAATTACATAATGCAAATAAAGAATAGGATCTACTATTTGAAGTTAAACTACGTTCCAAATTTGAAAGGAAGAGAGTTTTTTTTCCAGTTTTTTTTCTTCAGTCTCGATAAATTATGCCCTGTCACAAGGACTTTGCCGGCCGAAGCTCTCCCGTGTCTCCAGCTCACTCACCTGTATGATGCAAGCTCACTTACACAGGGGATAACGAATCACCACGTGAAAACTAGCCTGTCCACATTTCTGTTTGGACTCGGAGGAAAATTCTGTCATCTTTAGTTTTAAAAACAACATTGTTAAATGGGTCTAACTTAGTTCACAAGCACTTCAACTGTGCCTCGTAATAAAAGGAAAGTATTTTCGAACGCTGTCACTAAAATAAGAGCCGATCTGATGTTAACAAAATGACCAATGTTGGCTTTTTTTTGGTGGCTTTTTGTTAACCAGATCAGATCACGTCTTATTTCAGTGTTCGAAAAATACTTTTACTTTTCATTATACAAGGCACAGTTGAAGTGCTTGTGAACTAAGTTAGACCTAGGTCTAGTAACAATGTTGTTGTTTTTTCCAGATTTTTTTTCAGATTTTTTTTTAGATTTTTTTTTTTTTTATCTTCGAAATAGGGTGCGCCTTACAGTTTTGTAATTTGCTTCCTAGTATTGCGATGATGTATAGTTGTACGCTTTAGATTAAGACATGTTCATCATTGAAAATGGTCATGGAAATTTACATTATCCTGCTCTGGAAAGTCATGGAAAGTCATGGAATTTTTAAAATGTGTAAGTGTACGAACCCTGTAGTAAGGAAGGAAGACATCGATGTCTGCCGTTTCGATTCCATTTTAATTCGACTGGCGTGCGATCTCGGAGATAAATTTACTCAGCTAGCTCAGCTCGGCTCACAACGCGCGCTTTTCTTGCGTAAGCTAGCTTGCCGGCCTGCGCTAGGCTCTGGCGCACTGGGCATATACTAGATAGCTCAGCCCCCGCGTGCGCCGCGCCGCAAGTCCATATTTTAATAGGGTTTTATTTTACGATCGTTTCGGAGACGTTTCATCTCATTTCTTTACGACCGTTTTCACAACCCCGCGCTATGAAAGCGTGTCTTCGTGAAGCTTGTGATAACAGAAATTTGAGATAGCGACTTGACCGAATATGATGTGATTTTTGTATTATTATTTTTTTTTTTTGGAGAGGCTTACAGCCGGCTACGATTGCCGTTACAGCCGGAAAAAATAGCCGGTTGCCGGCTATTAACAAGAACCCTGCATTTAGAATGTTGAAAAATTATGTGTAAATAGGTAACAATTTATGTTCATGATTATGCACACAACTGCATACATACACTACGCAGTACAATGCATGGCTGAAAGTGGTGGATAGGATACTAAAGATATATATATACACAAAATATCTTACAGTGCACTGCTAGCTCATAGCAATATATATGGATTACATTTTATCTTGAAACAAATCATGCTTTTAAAATGCTATTTGCATCCCATCCTTATTTACAATTTTATATGCAATCTTTGTACAAGTGAAGAGTTATGATTTTACTTAACTCTGACTCAATTCATTGTACATGTAAGTGCAGATTTGTCATGACTTGCATTAATCATTTTTTTTTAATTTTAGAGGTAATGGTTAAATTTTCCAGCTGCTTAACATGCACAATGTCAAATAAAAACATTGGCAAATTAACAAACCAAGAAATAAATGGTGAAATTTACCTGAACATGACATACTTCAATGAAGCTACAGTATCGATGGAACTGCCGTTCTCCATACTAGACTGGCAACATTTATATTCAGATATTCTCATTACAAAACAGGAATGAATATAATGTACTTTTTTCTTCGCTGACTATTTGATGTCTACAAAGAATATGAATCACTCTTTCAAATATATCTGCACTAGTCTACAATTAACCTTATTCTTCCTATACGTTGATTATCATAATATTATTGTAGATGGAGCAATTGTAACTCTTGTTCGATAATCTTGTGCAATGTTGAATTTTCGATAAACAGTATGATGATTGACATTGTACAAATTGAGATATTGACTAAGATGTTGATTTTTTTTTCTTCTTTTGTTTCCATGGTAATGTAGTGGTGCAAGCAGTCCGTTGGTGGGTAGTACGGATCATGAGATGCTACACATGAACAGCCTCTACAAGGAGAGATTCCCCAAGGCAAAACAACAGATGGAAACCAAGCTCACTGTAAGTATAGATCCAGGGTCTCCAAACTGTCTCTCCATTATTTCTTAAAGCCCATCTGCACTAGTTTGGCCAGGAGGGATTAGACCTCCCTGCGTGGTCACTGGCAGGTGGTTATCTCATCAAATCAACTCTCAATTAACATAAGAAAAAGGAGACCATGGAGGATCAACGGGTAATGCTTAGGCATTGTTTGCTGTATAGAGAGCGTAAGTAGCTACATGTAGTGCAGTCCCGCTTTAAGACAACAAAGTTGTAAATTGTTACCCTAAACAGTGCATTATAGAAATAACTATGCTAGTATAGGACCATTGGGGGTGTAACCATCTACCAGGAATGAAGATTTATTGTTTATCTAATGTAAATTTTATTTTACTCTCATCTTTTATTCCAGGACTTTATTAACAAGTATTCAATGGATATGAGCCAGGAAGGGCACGATGCAATCTATGCTTTCCTTGTCCATCAGACGGTAGAACTAGCCCGGGACTGCTTAGAGAAATCACAAGAAGACCAAGTCTCCCATATCTACTTCACTGAGGTGTCCCACAAGGTCCAAATGCTAGCAGAAGATGTAAGTCATTGTTTTGCGCAGTCATATCTGTATTCTGGTCAGGTGAATCAAAAAGAAATGTAGTCTTTGTTGACAGGTAGTTGTTACCTACAGGTTATACTGAATACATGTTTCATTAAGGAACACTGATGAAGAAAGAAAGAAAAAAATATATTTTCAGTAATGCAATGTAAGACAGAAGGACAAGAACATTTATAATGGTCAATTTTAATTTTCTATTTTTGAGTTGTGTGATGAAAGGATAGAAAAGAATTGTTTATAGATATTAAAGTTATTGAATTACCTATTACCTTTAATAATGTAGACAATACACAGACTGCAATGTTTTGTATAAAAGTAGTCTTAGAAATTTTTCCAAATATGTTCGTACCCCCTCCCCCATCCCATTTGATTAAAACGAAATATATACATCTGCTGTACTTGTCTCTGTCTGCACCATTTTGCCTTGGCCCCTTTTTTGTACTGTGATAAGAGAGGTTGAAGAGGAAATAAATATGAGAAATAAAGGAGGAAAACAAAGAGCATGAGAAAAGGAGAGAAATCTGAGACAAGCAAATGTAACATAACAGAAGTAATGAATGTTAACAAAGGAGACAGATGTATTATTACAAAGAATGAGACATGAATATTACATGATATGAATCCGCATTTTCCTTTAAAACAAGCAAATAAAACTCCATGAATCATGGCAAGGGCAAATATAGAGCCGACTGATCATCTCAAGATGTTCCCCCCGTCCGAAATGAAGAAAATAAGAGTTGATTGTTTTCTTCCATACAAACCACTTCTAAAGGATCCCACGTCACTCCTTAGAGTCATGGGTTAACCTGGCATCGAAAACCTGTCAAATAGGGATTCTTAGCTTACGCCAAAACTGTCAAGTATGAGTCTCCAGAGGGCAGTGCTTCTTTTTAAATCACCCACGTGGAATGTGATGTGAATTGTAAATCAATGTGGTTCCCTCGTTTTTATAATGTGGTGTACCAGATGCCAGCCTCTTCTTATTATTCAATGCTCTTTCAACTTGTTTTTCTCTCTTTTCCAAAGAAATCGCTCCTCAGTTTTACTCTGTGGATTTGGAATGATGACAGTATTACAGATCTTTTGAATACTCTTATGATTCTTTGCTTAAATTCTGAAAACAGTCAGAAAAGGTGCATAAAATGATACAACAAGGATGAAGAAAAGGGGAGGTACATACATGTAGTGAAGGCTCAATATGACTGAGTGTCATAACTTAGCATTTTGTAGATTGGATCAATAATTATGTATTGCAATTAATCTTAAAGTTATAATTGAAAATAACATACTGGGATGAAAGTTGATTATACATAATACCAGTTTGCTAATGTATTAAATTGATATATAGTTTTGAAACAAAATTGATTTAATACTCTGATAGATTTACTGAAATTTTCAGAAGCTTTATCTGGTATAGCAGCAGCCAATATTTGCAGGGTTAATTCTATTCATGAAGATAATTTCATACTTTCTGATAATGTATTTAAATTTGTTTAATCTATAAAAATAGTTTGATACAAGTGAATTGAAAATTTACAAGTACAGGTTCATAGGGAAAACATCAGTACTAGGAGCAAAACGATGCATGCTATTAAATGCAAATGCATTCGAACATATGATGGAGATAGCAAGCATTCGGACGATGACTAATTATTAACTAGACCCTTCCGTTTTGTCTTTTTACCTTTGTGCTTTTATTGACAGGCTGAGAACCGATCTCAAGTCTCTGCCAAGTCATTTACGAGGGTAGTCAGAGACCTACTGATGATACTAGCCAGGCCAGCTAGACTTCTTGAATGCCTGGTGAGTACACATTAATCATCATACAAAACCCATAGGACAGACACGCTTACACTGTAGTCATCACTTTTATGTCCCCCTTAAAATTTGTAGCTTGGGTGGGGGTGAAGTGTATCAGGAAATGTTTTCATGCCATTTCAGTCTGTAAAGGAGAATTTGTTGATTATTTAATTAAAAAGAAGAATGAAATGATTCAGGGGGTTTCTTTGGATGCTGAGTACTATTCATTTCATTTGATATTCTGCTATTTCTTTGTTGATAAAATTTTGTTTTAATTATGTACTTATCCTTCACAATTGTTATCAGCCCACTTACGCTAAATGCTTTCTCCAATGCACTTTCTCAAATGTCTGCATATAACCCTCAATAAATCAAGTCATTTTTGTATGTAAGATGATAGTCAATAAGTCAGGCATCAATCTTTAATGTAGCAAAATTGGATGCCTTCTCTTTGAAAAAAATTCTTTTAATTCCTTCTGGTAGTGTTTATACAGTCAAACCTGTCTATAGTGACCGCCCAAGAGAAACACTAAAAGTGGCCTTTGTAGACGGGTGGTCTTTGTGGACAGGTTCCTTTAGTACATGTTTCAATGAGAAACCATTTTCAAGGGAAACAAAAAATGTGGTCTTTGTAGACAGGTGGTCACTAAAGGAGGTTTGACTGTACCAAGTATAACTGTGAATATCTGAAATGTAAATGTTCCTTTCTATTTGAATAGGAATTCGACCCTGAGGAGTTTTTCCAGCTGTTGGAATCTTTCGAGGACCAGGCCAAAGTTGGATCCACTATTTCAGAAGACTTACCAAAGTACATCATCCACCAGCTAGGACTTACCAAAGATCCCTTGGGTAAGAGACATTGTCATCTCGTCCGTTCCCCTCTGACTCTGTAGATGGATTTATAAATATACTGTAAAGCATTTGGAAAGCATCTCTCTTTCTTGGATTTTGTGAGGCATGCTCCTGAACCAATAGCTACATCAACAATTTCTTTCTCGAGTTGAATTCCAAACTTTAAACCTGGATCTAAACTTGTGTCTACGACTTTAATGTAGTCGTAGCTATGATTTTAACCAAGCCATAGACCTTAACTCCGTTCTTAACCCTGACCCCATGTCTGTGACAAAATAAAAGCCTGAAACAAATGTTTTGTGAGTGAATGCTGCATACACCTTCCTAAAGGAAGCTACTTTTTTCTTTCATTTCCATTGCTCAGCTAATAGCCCCCTCCCCCCCCCCCCCTCCTCCCCCCTCCTCCCCTGATATTGAAATTGAAGTAGTATTCTGTTCTATATCTGTACATTGTTGGAGTGATATTCGTAGTGTTCACATCGTTGGTGTGTATGCATGTCATTGTTTCTGGTGTAATATATATCAAGAGTATCATATTTATGTTCAAAATATATTTATTTATTTTTCTTTTCATTCTTTACACTGAGTAGTGTATTTTTGTGTAAATGTATATATGTATCTGTAATTTTTCTTCAAACACAAAGATAATTTCTTCAACAAATTAGATAGTGTTAGTGTGCTTATTGAAAATGTGTGAAAGCTTTTAACATCCACATTTTTCAACTTAACAAGAATTGCAAAGTATAGAGCAATATGTTCGTTGTGAATTTTAGTTACTTTTATTTCTTGATATGCACTGCAAAGTATTCAACCTTGTTGAAAGTTCACTATTGTATGAAGTGAAAGTGTAGATTGTTTGTAAGTGGTTAATTTCTATATTTTCTTTTTCTTTTCTTCCAATTTACACCCTTCTCCCCTGCTTTTCTTGTCTGTTTTCTATTTTAACACCACATCAAATAACTGTTTCATCTCTTTCCTCATATTAATCCTTACGCTGACTAAACATTACTATTTTTCTGCTTGAATCTGTTTGATTCTATTTCGTATTGGTATTTTTTATTTTTCTGTTGGTGTCCTTATTATCATCACCATCATTATCAACAACGTCAACGTCATCCCCATCAATATTATTGTCAATGTCATCATCGTCATCATCATCATCATCATCATCATCATCATCATCACTATCATCATCACTATCATCATCGCCATTATCATCACCATCAATTTTATTGGCAACATGGTCATCATCATCATCATCACCACCATCACTATCATAATTGTCATCATTCCTGTCTTGGTTATCTTTGCTTTTTTCTGCTTATCTATGTATTTATCTCTCCATCATCCCTCTATCTTCCAAACCTCACCAACATATCATCCTCCATCACATTTGTCTGCTTGCATTCATCCATCAAAAACAATTCTTCTCTTCTCTTTCCTTTTTCCTGCATCACTTGCATGCTCACATCTGCCTCTCTTAATCTCTTCTCTTCTGACCTATCACCAATCGATGTTCAACGTCACCTGACAACCACCTCTGTGGTCTGCCGATCCATTCCTGTGCTGTCTCCATACTCTGGACCTGATGCTATCCCGTTACCATGGAAATCAACATCCTATTGGCTATGGCATTCCTCCCTTGTGTGACCTCCCATGTGCTCCGATATCCTCAACACACCAACCTTCAACTGTCATTTGTGGGCATCCGATGAAAACTCATGGTCCATACTACTTCTTCACGCTATTTTACAAACTAAAAATGGGTTTGGTTCCATTTATCCTTTTAACCTTGTGTGCAACTCCTTGTTGAAATAAAAAAAATTGGTGTTTCATAATGGCATGCTTGTGATGTTTGCTGTGAAAATTTACAATGATTTTTTGTATAATTCCTTCAAACCAAAATTCCTTTTTTCAACTCATTGGTGTTAACTTTAACTCAATGGCATATCCATATGTTTCTTATTTACACATTTTTCAAAATTTATCAATTTGAATGCAATTTATAATGGGAATGTTGTGATTCATTCCATGTATGTCTTCATGATTTTGAAACATTCAAATGCACATTGAAATCATGTTGATGACCCACATGATCCCACCCTTTGCTCTTCCTGTCATGTTATGTGATGGGTTTCTACTCACTCACCTATGGTTGACCTCATATAGCATATTTTGATCACTTTCCAGACGTGGGCGACCTGTGTGGGGATTCCCCCTCACCGCCACGCCAGGATTCAGGAGAGGATGAAAAGGTAAGGAGCATGGTAACGGTGGGGTTGGTGTTAATGTTTGTCATCATAGGCGGTTGAGATATAGTTGCATCAACAGAAGTTGCTTCTGATTGGCTAGTCATTTCATGGCGTGTCAACCACAAATGTGGGCATTGGATGAGAGGGTTGAAGATCTTATGTTACAGCTTGCATTCAAACTGGTCATGTTGGAGGAATATGTTAGCATGGGCAGAAAACTGTAGAGAGAGAAGAGATTGAGGCAGAGAGCAAGAAAAAAAAGAGAGATTGAACAAAAAAGGGGGAATGGGAGATGGTGCATAGTTAGGAAAGGGGTTGTTACAGATAATTAACTTGTGATATGAAAATACTTGTATGTGAGGTAATAATAATAATAATGTCAACTTATAAAACGCAAATATCCATTCTAAAAGACTGCTCAAGGGCTCTGTACAATATCAAAATAATTATACAGTATTAAAACTAAGACATTAATAAATGGTGCTTAAGTTTCCTCTTAAATATTTCAATTGATGATAATTGTCTTATTTGTAATGGTTAAGTGTTCCATAATTGTGTTCCATAATGTAATGATGTGATATGAAATATTTTCAAGTAATATATAGTTAGGAATTAAAATCTAGATGTAATACTGTCATTATCATTTCATTTTTATTCATCAAGAGTAATGTTGATGGTAGAGACTGCTTTAAGGAACCAAGAGAAGAAGATTTTGAGAACATCAAAATCATCAGCAATGGAGCATATGGGTAAGTGATCAAGAGCACAGAATACATCTAACCTTATTAATTAAAAACAATCTGGATACAAGTCAAAATTATTTTGTATTAGTTTTTTTTATTATCTCTACTGGCACATTGGGCTATTTATAAAGTAATATAAGAAGAGGGATTCCTGCTCTATTATGTATGGAATAATTTCTTAAAATTTACTTGCATTTCCCACTCTCCACCCAGGAGAAGTGAATGGGTACTCAGTGGGCAGAAATTCCTTGAATGCTTCAGCACCTTATCATCGTAGTTTGGCTGAAGCCGGGGTAATGGTAGGATTGCAGGGCCCTCAGGGAGAACAGTATTATTACTAATTAGGCTACCCTGGGTAAACAAGATATCTTATTGTAATAGTCATTATTATAATCTCTTTTGATTCAGTGCTGTATACTTGGTGCGACATAAGGCATCTCTACAGAGGTTTGCCATGAAGAAGATATGTAAGCAGAACATTGCCCTTCGGAACCAGCGGGAGCAGGTCTTTGCTGAACGTGACATCCTCACGTTTGCGGAGAACCCTTTTGTTGTTGCTCTCTACTGCAGCTTTGAAACAAAGGTAAGATGACATACAGGCAATCCTTGATGTTACAAGACGTACAGGCGTTCATTGGATGTTACAAGGTCCATGTGATCATTAAATTTGTTGTGTTCCACTTTAAAACACCCACAGTAAAACCTGCTTTAGCGACCACATGTTTAGAAAAACCCATTAGTCAATAATGACCACATTTTTTCATTTCCCTTGAAAAGTGTTCTCATTGTAACCTGAAGTGAACCTGTACATATTGACCACCTGTCTATATGGACTACTCTTCTTGTCTCCCCTGCAGGTATCACTGAATACATAAAATTGTAAGGATCATTATCTTTGCAAAATCTGTTATTTCATCTGTTATACCAGTAGCCCACCTTTGCAACATTCTATTCTATATTCGCGCCTTTGAATGTTTTTTTTTAACAACAGATATATGGCGCCATACAAATGCTGTTCATCATCATCATCATTATTAACAGAAAAATGTAATGAAAGAATGAATCAGCCCAACTATACATCAGAAATCAAGTGAATCCTTCATATTTATAAAAGATTTGATTCGAAAACTATTTGTTTGTCATGGATTTTCTGTTTTCATATTTCTCTAATAAAAGGAGGGCAATTAAATGAAACATTCAGCCAAAATAGTTTATATTTGATTTTGTTTGATTTGGTATGATTTGATTTGATTTGATAGCTACATATATCTTGAATTATTTTGTTCATATTTTGTTTTCTCTCTCTCTCTCTTCATCAGAAATATTTGTGCATGGTGATGGAGTATGTAGAAGGAGGAGACGTAGCTACTTTGATCAAACATATAGGACCACTTCCTCTAGAAACAGCAAGGTAAGATAATATATCAGTTATTACATCATTTATTCATCATTAATAATCAATCTTTTGCCAGTAAGAGCATATCTTTAAAAAGACAGGTAATGTTTAGTTCTCTCTTAGACAGAAAACTGTCACTAAAAATTTCTGCTGAATGAAATGAAAATTAAGCTGAATGTTCAAGATGATGATTAACTAGCATCTTCCACACAATATTCGGTAGAAAACTAATATAGTAGCTGAATAATGAGCAAAGAGATATAAGATTTTCTTTTTTTTAATCTAGCTAGTCGTCCTACCTCACATGTGAAACATGTAGCCTAATATGAGTTGTGCTTTTCAGTTGATGAGATTTCCAAACAGCATTTGTAGTTTGTTTCTATTTTACTCGTCCAAATAATGCATCTTATGCATGAAGTGATGAACGATTCAGAATTCATTCAACCCAGATTCTTTCAAAAGGCTATTCCATTACCAAAACTGAAAAGAAACCTCTAAAACAACATAACAAAAACAAAAATTGAAGACCAAACCATTGTGTCATTGTGATAGATATCGTGCTTGATAACATTCATAATCAAATGCAAGTTGCAATGATTTCTCAGCAATCAAAAAATATCCATGTCATGTGTGCTACAAACTTTAAAGTAGATGCCCAGATCATTAAAAAAAGAAAACGAATGGAATCAAATCAACTGCTAGAAAGTTAACAGAAACTATGGAATCATTTCAAACTTTTCTCATACCCTGGGTTTCGAAATGTGGACTGTGATTATGGCCATCATAAAAGTCATACTTTGCAGTTCGTTCGTCAAGTCTTGTTTTCAATAACAGGATGTAGTTACTAATAAGGTTGGGTTCAATCCATCCATAAAACCCCACAACTTTATAATCATCCTCTGCATTGTGACGATGGAATAAGAAATTCTAGTGAACTTTTTTGTCCCTAATGAGGGGTAACATATGTTGGAAGGTCAGATTTAAAAAGCACGGCAGATTTTAAGGATGACCAGATACAAGTAGAAGAGATCATTAGTAGTATTACATATAGTAATTAATGGTACTCTTTTCTTATGACATGGTTTGATACATGTCTATATCTGCTTTGTTTTTCATGTGATGGTTTCAAAATGTCACTCTGTGGCTTTCTGTCAGAAACGAATATGAATGCTTTCTCTTCCCCTCCCTATCTCTCTCTCTCTCTCTTTCTCTCTCTCTCTCTCTCTCTCTTCCCCTCCCTCTCTCTCTCTCTCTCTCTCTCTCTCTCTATCTCTCTTTCTCTCTTTCTCTCTCTCTTTCTCTCTCTCTACTGTTATGCCTTGTTCTCCCCCATAACCCATTCTCTGTCTCCTATTAGTATCCTTCCCCCTCTTCCTTAAGTAATCCCCATTCTGTGACGCTATAAGAAATTCCTGCTTTTCATTTTCTCCAGATCTTATATTTTCATTGTGTAATGATTTTATCTTTCAGATTATATTTTGCTGAAGCAGTACTAGCCATAGAGTATCTACACAGTTATGGAATCGTACACAGGGACATCAAACCAGATAAGTAAGTCAGCCCTCTTCTATTTTTTTGTAAAGTAGAGCTTTTGACATAATTCATATCAATCCTGACTCACTGTTCCGATCCCCTCAGGTCACACACAAATTTAATTTCCTTTCATTTTGTTATTGATAGGATATAATGTATTATTTCAATTTATATTTTATGACAGCGTATAGATAACAAAAAATTGGATCTACCAGCAGGTTTTATCCCTAGGGCTGTCAGGACTCTATCCAATTAAATGTCTTGTTGCACAGTAGTTATCTTGTTGTTCTGATCATAATGAGGTATTACCCTGGACACTAGTGAGCGTCATCATGTCTGCATTGCAAACTACATGTGTAATATTAATTGTAAGTAGGAATTGTTCATGTTGTTTCATTTAATGTTTGTTTATGTTTTTTCTCACAGCATGTTAATTACATCGACAGGACACATCAAGCTGACTGACTTTGGTCTGTCCAAGATTGGTATCATGAGCTGTGAGTATCCCATTTAATTAGACTATAATCCACTGACTCCTGAGTTCATTGGCTCTCCTGGGCTTAATACAGTACCCACCCAGTTCCAATAGGCAATGGGTTAAAGTTTTTAGGCTCATCCAGGTAGGATATCATAGCAAGGGTTTGGATCAGAGTGGATGCAGAAAATTTGTGCAAAATTGCAGATCCCTCAATCTGTCTGAAAGGTGGATGGGTGGACATATACATTCTCCAATCCTATTCCGTAATATCAAATAATTTTTTCAGGGTTGGGGTTGGGGGCAGTAGCTGAAAGTTTTTTGTTATCATTTCTTTCATCTGCATATTCAGCTTGCAACCTCCAAAGCTAGAAAGACAGTATATGTTTCCTTGATATCGATGTATATTCATTCTCTCAGCAAACTTACCTTTCAATCAAAATAGAACTAGTAAAAACAGGAAATAGATCTTTTCATAAGCATTAGGTAACAAGTTTTCTTTCATCACTATGGCACAGGCTGACTCATTGTATGTATTAACTCATCCTCATTATCTGTTCCTTTCCGTGTTTGCATTGACAGTAACAACAAACCTGTATGAAGGCAACATCGACCGGGACACCAAACAGTTCCAGGACCAGCAGGTATGCGGCACACCCCAGTACATCGCTCCGGAGGTGATCCTCAGGCAGGGGTACGGCAAACCGGTAGACTGGTGGTCTATGGGCGTGGTCCTCTATGAGATCCTGGTAGGATGCCCCCCTTTCTTTGGTGAGACTCCGGAAGAACTCTTCGCACAGACGATCAATGGTGAGTAGAGTTATACAACAACTATGGTATAGTTTGATACCCCTAACTATTAAAGAATCATTTCATGGAGTTGCAGGTTGTGATAACTGAAGGATTACTACTGTGACACTAATGAATTATGCATTTTGGTTTCTTTATACTGTAAAACAAGAAATTTTAGTGATTTCAGAAATGATGCCTGTTTTACACCTGCTGCAAATTAGCCTTTTTTTCGTAATGTAACCAAATTTATACGTAAGGGCCTCGCTCTGAATTATTTCATTCACCTGTTAAGAGTAATTCTTTTTCAATAGTCAGAATGTGAATTGCATAAATTATGTGTTGTAAGGTAGGGAATGCCATAATGTTTGTCCTACCTACCAACTACTAATGTATGCAATTTGAATTCTGACTATTTAGATACATTTATTTGTAACAGTTGAATTAAATAATTTGTATCGAGGAACTTCACAAAGACATATGCATAAATTTGGTTACATTACGAAAATGGCCTACTCAATTAACTGAGATTAGTGTCACATTGGGGGATATGTTATAGGATGAAATTATTGAATAACTTATTGATGTCATCTAGGGGTTGGTCCTTCCCAAAGTCTTCCAGGCTTTACGTGATTACCAATAGTGTTCCTTAATTAATTGACAGATTGAGTTGTTATTTAAGCACCTTTGGCTTCAAGTCTTATCCGGGGGACTTTGTAATTAAGGATAAATGGTCTTCTCATTCGCACTTGTACATCAAGTTACTTTCAAAGCAGGAATCCTCTGGTCGTAAGACACCCACTCTACTACACAACCACTCTACGACATCTCAATACTAGATACCCTGTATTGAACCATGTTTTACCCACAGTTATGATTGAATGGCCCGACGGTGATGATGCCCTATCGGACGAGGCCATGGAACTGATCAACGGTTTCCTACAGCAGGACCCTCTCTTCAGACTGGGTACAGGGGGCAGTGAAGACGTCAAGGGACATAGATTCTTTCAAGGGGTTGACTGGAATGGTCTGCTGAGGCAGAAGGCTGACTTCATTCCACAGCTGGAAGGAGAAGACGATACAAGCTATTTTGATGGTGAGTTATCCAGAGGGGCATTTCACAAAACTTGTCATCAGTGACAAATGACAGTTTATGTTATAAGCTACTGAAATCCTTGCTTGTGATTGGTCATCAACAGATTTGTCACTGATTTTTGTCATTTATCTTTGAAAAAAGGCTTTGTGAAACAGGTCCCTGGGGGGCATTTCACAAAACTTGTCATCAGTGACGAATGACAGTTTATGTTATAAGCTACTGTAATCCTTCCTTGTGATTGGTTATCAATAGATTTGTCACTGATTTTTGTCATTTGTCATTGAAAAAAGGCTTTGTGAAACAGGTCCCTGCTGTCTTTGTTTATAATATGCATTCTTGGAGAAAAAAAACCTCTAGACTGTTGCTAGATGTGGGAAGTCAGACGGTCCCTGTTAGTTTCTTTTTAAAAGCTACAGTTTTCCCCATGGGATTGTATATGTATGTAATTTTGTAGGAAAATCAACCAAAAGACAAACCCTTGTCTTTTGCAACAATGATCATGAGAAATAGAATAGTACTTTTTTCAATAGTTTGTAGGCTCCAAGTGTGACATAGCAATTAAATCTTGCTGTCCATGTGGACATGTTAAGACCGTCTTTTGTGTGTGTGTAGGAAAAACATATATACTGTTGCATCATGCACAGTAGTTATTGCTGCAAACAGATACAAGGAGTTATGTAATTCATTGTCTTAATGCTCAATCACATTAGACAAAACATTCTATCAAGTATCTACTTTAAATGTGTTGCCCCTAAAATAATATGACTTGTGTGACATTTCATCTCATGAATTGCTATTATTTCTTAATATCTTGTTATTTCAGCGCGCTCAGAGAGATACAACCATGAGCTGGACTCAGACGACGATGAGGACATTCCTGAAATTGGCAACTTCTCCACCTTCTCCCCGCGGTTCAGTCGATCGTGCAGCAGCGTATCACAGTCATCCGATGACACAGAGAGAAGAGAGAGGTCTCATAGTGCTTCGCTACCCCTAGGGGATCTATCCCATCATTCCTTGCCTGCCAGGAACTCTCCGCAGCTCCTGACGGTGGATGTTGACAGGGCTAGTAGCCTCCCAGACAGGTAAGTGTCAATCATTATCCGATCCAAGCTACTTCAGAAATGCAGCTCTTTTATAGCATATACTATAGCAATAGTTATCTGAACCAATAGTTTACCTCACCATTTTATTCTCTCCATTTCTGTAAAGTCACATGGATTGGAAAAGAAGAACTTTGGGTTATAGTTATTAGTTAATCTTTTTCTTTTCCCGGCATACATGCGACTCTCTTCCAAAGGTAGTCTTGTTTTGTATTCACTGATTTTTCTTTGTCTTTGTTGAATAAATAATAATAATAATAATAATAACCAGTCCTTGGGTTAGGTATGATAAAGAGAAAAGATCACACATGACCAGCAACCCAAAATGGTACTATACAGATGTAGAAGTACATGACCATGATAATGCAGAGGCAATAGTTTCCAATTTTCACTTTTTATATCTTCTGCTTAGATACTTTAATTATAATCTCATAATCTTAAGGTCTATTTTATTTGTGCACAAGATGCACCCTGCCATCACCCTTGCAATGCAGTGTCCAAACTTCTATAGCACTAGAGATGTTTGCAAAACCAAACCTTAAACTTAATCAGATTTGATATTTCTACCTTGTGGAATAAATTTGACATACATATTATTTTGCTCTTTAAGCTCCTTCAAATCTTTGTTATTAGTTTGTTAATCTTTTGAAGTTTGGAAAATGTATTCTTTTCCTAAATGATACAAAATTCGTTGGAAGGTTTGATAAATTGAAGCTCTTTCAAAGAGAATGCTGGGTTACTTTTCGTCTCAGTTTTGACTTTGATGAGTAGTGCATAGTTTAAATATTTCACATGCCTGTCTCATGATAGGATGCCAAAGGCCAAAACCTCCACAAGAATTCCAGCTGTAGTAGAATTTATCAAAAGATATTCTTGGGAATAGTAGGTAATATTCTACCATACTTGTTCTTTCTCCACCGACCATGGAATCGTAGGGATATCGCTCGGCTATCGAGACGTTTCTCAGCCAGCTTTGCCACCGATGATCACGGCTCTTTATCCATTTATCGAAATATTTTGAGAGACAGGTAACGGTTGCCTGTGACAGTTAAATGTCCAGTCAGTACAAAGTCTGTCTTCTGCAATCTCGCACACTGCTTCTGCAATATATATTTACTCAATATCTTTTTTTGTCAGCACTTTCTGCAAAAACACAATGTGCAAAATGTTGTGGACACAAGGCCTTGTGACATAAGCATTTACAATCAATTGTTAGCCCAAAGAAATAATCATATTTTAAGTTGATTGTCATTATTTCTTGGGTCTTTTTCATATTTGACATTTGATTGTCATGTTTATGTCACAGGCCCACATTTTTGCTGTGTTGTGATTGTGTAACAAGTGATCAAATGTTTATTTTATATATATATCTTGTTGCTTTTATTGTCTTCACTCTCCATCATCCAGAGAATTTGGGATCTGTCAGCTTAATATAAATATTCATTATTTGCTGCAAGTTTGATCGGTGTGCTAATTTTCTTACCATACTGATGCTTTCATCCAAAACTTAAGGATTACATGTCTGATCTGCTCATGAATTATTTTAAGTGTCCGGAAATATGAAAATGTGTTCAAAATAAGAGATTTGACAAGTGGGATTTTCCCAAATCCATCATAAGCATTTCTAATATTCAAATTGTAATTACTTGGAGTACAGCCAATTTTTTTTGCTCTTATATAAACTCCTCAAATAAAATTTTGAAAACTCAAGATTGATCAATTATTTCTGTATTGTCATGATATAATTATCACTTTATTTATAGTATCATTAGGAAGTATGTTTATTTAGTTTGGCAAAGATGGATTAGACCTCCCTACATGGTCATTTCATCAAATCAGCTCTCAATTAACATAAATTAAGGGGGATCATGGGGAACCAATGGTCACCGCTTCTTAGGCATTGTTTACTATATAGAGGGCGCAAGTAGCTATAAGTAGTGCAGTGGGGCTTTAAGATAATACCATAATTGTTAGGACTTGGAATGAGCAGTACATTGGAAAAAAAGGCAGGATCAAAAGTGAAAAGTTCCAAAATGCACTGGTATTGTGATGCCAAGGACTACACAGTAGCCCTTCACTCTTCAAAGAAAGAGGAATGCACAGCTGAACAAGAGCAGTGCATTGTGCAACTTCTTCACTTTTGACCTTTCACCTTATTTTGATGTAATGCACGTTCCATGACTAAAACAATCATACCAACGGGGCATACTTTTAAAGAGGAAAACTATAGACCCACTTTTTAATGATACTAAACATAGCAATGCCATGACGAGAGAGATATAATCAACCAAACTTGAGTTTCCAACGTTTTTTGCGGAGTTTGATACTTGTTTTTAACTGCAACTGAGTATCTACATGTGTATGAAGCACTGTGAGATTAACTACACCATGAATAGGATTACCATTGCCATTCCTAGATGTACAAGAACTAAAGACCACACTACTGTGACTCTGTGACTCTGTCTGCACTACTGCATACTTCTGTTGAATGTAGACTGCAGTTTGATATCACTACTGTTCCTTCAAGTCATTGAAAATTAAATTTCTCCATGTTTTTTTAGTTTAAAAAAAATCTTTTTTATGACACTGAATTAAGAGAATTTAATTGAAAGTTGATTAATTTTGTGTGTTTGTTAAATTATGGGACAGAAAATGAGGCAGAATGTTGTGTTTGGGGGACAGGGTATTGTATTTTTTTTTTGTAACTTTTTGTGGCAATGAAAAATAATCAATGTTGATTTGCTATTCATTTCTTGTACATAAGTTTTACATAATTCTATCTTTTATAAAACGCTCCATTTGATCCTTACAAAATCTCTTAAATTTATTTGGGTGCATTCATTTTTCTTATTATTACTATTTCTTTGGCCATTCATGAAGTATTCCAAAACATTAGGCATGTGAGCCCTCTTTCCATGGCAAGAAGTATGACATTTAACCTACATATCAGGGTATCGTATCCTTGATATCATTATCTTTATTGCAGGGGGAAAAAAAACATTGTGCCAAATATTTCACCTTCTTGATTGATCTGCTTTTTCTGGCAAAATCTCCTTGGATAAATATTCACTCTCATAGCAAATTGCAAGTTATTTGATATTCTGGCAGTCTGTGCCTGTGTTTGTTTTGTTTAGTATTGATGATCACAAGCAGTCCTAATTACAGAAGCTTGAGTGTTTTTAAATGGTGACTTCCTAGAAATTTTAAATAAATAAATTTCCAACATTTGATCAAATGCTGTATATTTATTGTATGACCATTATTTGACTATAGATGAAAGTCATACTTTAAAGTTAGAAGTATGAAATCAATATCTTCCCTCTTTGCCTTCTTGCTCAGGACTGCCAATGCCAAGGCCGCTGAGCATTCTGACGCCTCCTCCACCTCCCCCTGCACCCCGCCCCACGACTCCTCCCCTCGGTCCCGCCGTCGGACCGGCATCGCCCACAAGCCACCCCTCCGGGAGGTCCTCCCTCGCTTCTCCATCTCGTTTGACGAGGACAGCCCATTGGCATCGTCGCTGGAGTCTCAGGGTTCTCTGGGGTCGTCAGGGTTCCTAGGTGCAGGAGATGGGAAGCACATCAGCTCCTCCTCTGAGAGACAGAGTAGAACGGTTGTCAAGTCAGCATCGTCTAGTATGCTGTCTCTTATCATACCATCAGGTTAGTACTCATGTCATATTCTTTATACCCCCATTTACTTGGTTACTTGGTTGTTGTTCCTCCAAAAGATTCCTAGTGGAATTTAAACTGGAGGTCGACTTATTTACCCATAAGTAAAGTTTCAATGACGAGGGATCTTGCCCATAATTTGTCAGTCCCTTGGTAGGGTTTTAATCCTTGCCATGGTAACTACATCATGTCTTTCTCAGCCAGAGAATGATTTTTATTTTGAATGATCTTTATTTTTGTGCATGAACAATAAAATTGAATTGAATTGAATTGAATCTTTGATTACAGTAGATTGGTGTGGGCTTCACCCCTCTCTCTCCCTGTAAGACCACAGAGATACCACTGTCATTTGGGGATTATGTCCCTATTTTTGTGATCAGGTTAATATTGAGCCTTGTCTTACCCAACAGTACACTTGCACTCACTTTACTGTGTAACCGGACTTCCTGATTTCAAGACCATTGCCCTAACCATTGAGACTTTGACTTACTTGACTTATGCCGTCCACGCAGGCAAGGGGCCTCGAGATGGCTTCTGTATGGTGATGGTATGCCAGGTATTTCTGTCTACAGCCAGTCTTGATGCATCTGTCAGCCGTGTATGGATCTTGCTTTGCAGTTCTCTGAGATGCAGTCAAGCCATCTTTCGGGTGGACGGCCTGTGGGTTGATTTCCTGTGACGTTTCCTTCAACAGCAACCCATGAGACACTGTATTAATCAAGCCAAAGACTTATTTATCGGTAACCCTTGACCCCTGTTTGTTTCAGATGAGCTTCATGTGCCATCGCCCATCAACTCCCCAGGAGGAGAATCAAGCAGCTCCAGAGACGATTCTCCGTCTAGGGATCCATCCATGAGTAGCATGAAGTCACCCATCGTCATCAAGAAACCACCGCGAAGGAAGACCATGGGATTCCACATGCAGGCTATCAAGGTCTACCTAGGAGAGTCCAACATATACACACTGCATCATCTAGTTAGGGTAAGTATCTAGCATATCATATGCTCAGAGCCAAAAGGGCATTAACTCTGTGTTAGAGCATATTAGTTAATGACCTTCTGGCTCCAAACAGATGCTATACACCCTTCATCATCTTGTTAGGGTAAATGATCCCATTATCCTTGCCTAGTTTTAATAGAAATGGTCATGAGTAAAAAGAAATTCATGAAAAATCATAGTTTCAGTGATCAGTACATTATTGTCCCCTTAAAGTTCTGAGGAGTTTTCTGTTTCTGAGAGAGGCACTTTTGTTAATATTTTAATAAACATGGTTATGGCCCTTTTCTCATTTAAATGTAGGCAGGTCTTTTGTTTTCAGTAACTCTGATGACATCAACATGATGAATACAATGATGTATTAACCTGTTGACTTCTGAATTCTATTATTCCTGTAAGCTTAACATGGGGACCACCTGGTTCATGTAGGCGATAGGTTAACATAAATTCTGACTTCTATCATATCTACAGCATGTTGAGGAAGGAAGTCCTGCGTACGAAGCTGGCTTGCGACCCGGAGACCTCGTCACTCACATCAACAACGCTCCAGTAGAAGGCTTGATCCATCGTGAGATAGTAGAACTTATCATGAGTGACACACAGGTTGTGATCCATGCCGTACCCATGGTCAAGACAACCATTCAGACATGTGGACGAAGGAATACAACGTCCAGTAAGATGGCCAGGAGAAAGAAGCCCAAGCGTAAAAGGGACTCCGTAGAGCGAAGGCGGCGCAGTGCAGTATTCAGAAGGTCGAGTTTGAAACGGGCATCGACAGATGGAAGCAGGGCTAGCTTAGCAGCATTAGGCAGGCAGGGAGGGACGGATACATCTCCTCGGTCGCCGACATCGCGGTCACCACGTTCCCCTCCCATGTTTCACATACCTAGTGAACATTCAAGCAGCACACCGTTGACATCGTCACCCAACAGTTCTCCATCATCGAGCTGCCCTAACTCACCCGCTGGACACTACACATCATCCAGACCCAGCACACTGCAAGGTCTGGCTCATAAACTACCCTTCTCATTCAGACCTGGAGGGAACCGTAGGAAGTCAGTCGGTCACATCCCACTGTCCCCTCTAGCCAGGACCCCCAACCAGTCACCAGCCCCTAAATCCCCTGTTCGTAGCCCCAGCCCTCTGGCTGTGGTGACCAGTCTTGGGCATTCTCCTGGAAGCTCCAACACCACCCAGTCCTACCCCGCCCACATGCTGAGCAGCCCCACCCTGGCTGCCCCTATGAAGGTCAAGACCAAGAAGTACATGCGCTCTAGGAACCTTGAGACTCCGCCGTCACCGCTCCTCAGAAGGGCTCTCTCACCAGACCATGAAAAGACCATGGACATGTTTGATGTTCAGCTCAGACCTCGAGCGGACTCAGCTTGTGATGCTCTCTCAAGGGAAGAGAGAAGTCTCAAGAGATTAGGCATCTTCGGCAAAGAGAGGGTCGCTGAGAGAAAATCTACAGGGTCCACTTGAGATCAATCTTGATCATGTGTGTAGAAATGCAAAGTATTCAGTCTGCTATATATGTATATTTGACAGTTTTTGGATATGATGGTCTTTGGTTTCACAGTGTCTGAACGGAAGACTCTCAAGCACATGCCATGCTGTGTTATGTGAGACAGCTTTAAGATACAACCATGGATGGTTTCGTCTTGGTAATCAAGACCAGATTTATTTTGCTGAAACAAATTGATAAACATAAGAGCATTGCAATTTACCAAAAGTTGATTAGAAAGTACTTTGAGTCATCATTAATTCTTTATTCTTTGCTATTGTGCCTGTATGTTTTGCCAAAGATGCTGAAATAAGAAATAGATAATGATGCTGACATAGCTGGAGTGATAGCATTCATCAACAACCTCACTAGCTCTTTTTTGGTCCACTTTAGTCCATACTGTAGACTGCCATTTCAGCATATGGTACGCACACACTGTATGTGTGCCAAAAGTTGACTGTGGTAATTTGAATAGTCGACCAAAGCAAGGAAGGGTTACAGTCTGTGGAATTAACATGACAGTAAACAGATAGTCGGTCTAAATAGAGATACAAGATGCACCATGTACATGAATGCATAGACAAGTTGGATACATACATGTTAGGATTATAATATGAGGATAAAATGGTTGCAAAATGAAGTAGTGATTTTGACATAGAAATTTGAACGAATCATTTACAATAAGAACAAATGCCACATACGCATCAAAGACAAAAGACACACAAAGGAGGGAGCATTGGCATTTTAAATTCCTGCTACCTGTATTATTTCTTTATGAAGGACTTTAAATTTTAAAGTAACAGCATTATAGTATACTTGGAGTGTAATTTTGGGTTGAAAAGTTGTAAGTTGAACAATTTTCATCATTAGATTTCATTTTGGCAAGATGTGAGGATTTTAGAAGTCTTGTGATGAAAAATGTGAGATGTCAAACCGCAATGCACTACACTTTTTGTCAGCATTAATTTAATTCTAATTCAACATTTAATTATTTTTTTTTTTTTCATTAATGTTCTCTATTGCCTTTGATGAAGAAAAAATCAGTTTAAAACAACATTTGTGCTATTGACAGTATTATTGATTTAACAAATTTTATTTTTCATTTGAATGATATACAAAGAAAAAGTCTGGCCTTGCATGTTGATGAATTATCAAAACAGAGTGGTGCATTTAAAGCTAACATTTCCTGATTAGTTACAATTAGAATTATTAATACCTGCAAAGTCTTGCACAATTTACAAGTAGTAAAGTGAAGACGATACTGTCATTTGCAAGAAAAATACCTTGATGTTGCATATTAGTAACATGATTTTATGATCATGAGTAACAAGGTACATGTAAATGGAATTATCGGACAAAGCAGGTGTGCAGGTATTATGATTTCTAGTTTGTTGAATAAATTTGAGAGTTAATTTATCTTATTTCATGTCCAATGAAATGATTTTGCAATGCTCATAATTTCCTTCCACTAAGGACTGGAATAACTAATTTCATTCAAATGCTAAACTGCCTTGTGAAGTTAAAAATTGTTTGTTTTTTCTGTAGTGCAAATGGTTTAAGTTGCACGGAAAGCTACTGCGAAGTGAAATTGATGTGGTAAAAAGAAGAGAAAAAATTTGTTCATTGCTTTTCATTAATTTGAAAATGAAATTTAAATATAGAAATTTATTGAGATATGAATAAGTTTGGATTCATTCACTGAAATGGAATACATTATACATAAATCTCTTGATATTGTTAGTGTCCAATTAATTGTCAATCCAATTTACTGACTTGGGTAAACACGCACTATTAATTTCCTGTTTGTAAGCCATCTGTTTTGTCTTTCAAAGTGTGTTTAATATACAGACAATGTTAGCACAGTATTTTGACTTGCTTTGTTGCTGTAGAAATAATTCTGTACAAAACTACAAATACATTCCTGAGGTATATAGACAGAGCAGATTGACTTTTGTGAGAGGGAGATAACTTCTTGAATTTGTTACTTCAATGTAAGCCTTCAATTTGGTACACAACGTTGTGAAAGAAAAACATTTCAATAACTCTCCAGCCGAAGCTCCAGGCAGGCGTAAGAGACAGCTATCGCTGGGCGCTGAGTAAAGATTTAAACCCGAATATGGGAAACATTTAGGTCTTCTAAAAGGGCCCAGGTGTTTGAACATTTTCACATCATTTTGTTGGTGTAGATTGTATTTCATGTAGGATGATTTCTTGCAGATTATATTTTCAGACTACACATCATTGTGTATCTATCTTCTACTTTAAAAAAAAGATGAAGTTTTCTGTGTATTTCAGACTTCTTGCTTCCGTTATATATTCATCAGACGTTATCTCCTTCTAACACTGCACTCAATACGACGCTCTTTATTTTATGTTAAGAACAAATATATCATAATGTACAGCTGATATCACATGTATAACATGCCACAGTCTGTGTTTATTTCTCCAAGTGCACTCTGTAAATAATTGGCTTGAGAAAGAGAGAGAGAAAGAGCGAGTGCACCTGCTTGCGTGTACAATCTCTATCAGATTCTATTCTATCTTCGAAAAGATAGATTTTTAAATTTGTACTATTTCTTCTATCAAAGCTTTTCTATCAAAATCTAAATATATTCCTATATAAAAGTGTCTTGAAACAGTGTCAGAGTTTATTCATATCAGCATATTACATTGTTGTGGTAGTTGTAGTAGTGTTTGTGTGAAATATGAACTTCAGTTAATGGGAGGGGTACAGTGGGTGGGAGGGGGCAGAACGATGAGGTGCTAAAAAAACCTTGAGATTCAATAACAAAACTAAAAGTTCTTTGATTTTCCCAAACCATGTCACTGTAACTTAATGATGTGATCATTATCAGTTGCACAATGTAGTCACTGGTCCGCTCTTTCCTTTTCGTTTGAAGTCTACGATGTATATCAACAGAGAATTTAGAACATGTACAGTGCTCATTCCCTGTGGTATTGAAGTATCAGGTCTTTATTCTTGTAATAGGACTATTTCCTCCTCAAAACAAAATCTGAATAATGCACATTTATTTAATCACCAAAGATATCACATGATTCGGTCACATACAAGATTCTCCTCCTACCAAGTTTCTTTGTTGTCCTGGTGAGGTAAATGTTTATTAGGTCAAAAATAATTCTGTAATACAGCATGTATCTTGTATCATCACCTATTAAAAGGCACAGTCATAGACTTCAAATGAAAAAGAAAGCATTGTGACATACAAAGGTGGACAACCTCCAACTCTTGTTTCTTCTGGAAAAAGCACCATATAATCCAATAATTAGTATTTATAATTATTCTACACCTTTTTTTTATTCTGTTAAATACCTGGTGTGAGATGTACTTCTTTAGTATCATTTCACCATCATGAATCTAAGATGGGGGGGGGGGGGGAACAAAGAAGATTCTTTACCACTTGAAATCTTCATGGGCTATCTGTAGGATTACATCTTAATTCATTGTGTAAATACATGATCGATCGCAAGAATGATGATAATATAAAATAGTGTGCTTTTAGTGGTGTGTGAGTAGCTGATGCTCTGCTGATGTTGCTATACTGTGTGGTCTTGCTGTTAAAAACAAATATATATATTTTGTCATACTGATTTGAATTCTCTTGCTAGATATTTGATGAGAATTTGAGGGTGAAGTTAATTCTTTCCTCTATCCACCTGCTACTGTAATTATTTAAAAAACCATGGCTTGATTGAATCATGTCAGTATCTTGAACCTGTGATGTAAATGATCTTTAATGTTCAGAAAGAAACACAATTTTGTAAATTTTGCACTGTATTCTAAGAGTTACGATTGATCTGGATGAATTACAAATCTACAATGATGGATGATCCTTGTCATTCGAAATATTTGATTTTACTTTTGGTTCCTTCAAGCAAATCTAGTTGCTTTTTTTTCTTTTGAATCCTTTCCTTTGAGCATCTTACAGAATGAAAGTGCCGCAAGCCGATGGCCAAATGATGACATTTGGTGCATTGAATTACGCTTTGATTCCAGTCAGATTAGTCACATACCAGGCCTGATAATTTCCTGATTAAAATCGGGTTTCCCATATATTTTTTTCCACCCGTTTTTTTTTTTTTTAATTAATTTTTTTTTTTCTTCAAAAAAGACCTTAGCATCAAAATTTAAGATAATCTTTTCATTTGCAATGTATAGCACCTGGAATTTTGAATGTGTATTGTATATATTTTCCATGTATATGATGCACATACTACCATTTTGCTCTCATGTATAATGCATTGGTAACGGTCACATTAAGACATGTCTATATCTCTACACGATGCATATGTGAACAGAACTCTTATCTTACCGAAGCCTGGCTCAAAATCATTAGAAAATGCACATTTCATGCAAATTTGATATCTTCTGTGAGGTAATGCATAACTAGAGTTAAAGTAATGTTATGATATGAAAGGCTGAACCTAGTTTGTGTATATTGAAGAGCAAATGACATTCTGACTGTACAATATGCATACAACCTGTCAATATCCTACTAAATTCCCAAATTACATTGGATTTTTTTTTTAAAGTTAACATTATTTGAATCTCCACTTATCCATGTTGTCGATGGGTGTTATTTTATGAGGTGTTATTTTATTAATTCACTTAATTAATGAATGTTTTACTTATCTTATATTTCTCATTCCTTTGTTACTTGTCTAATCTTATACCCTCATCCTAATTCATTTCTTCCTCTCATACTCTTCCTTTTTCCTTTGTCATCCAACAAAGAAGTTTATTTTATGTTGCTTATAATGAGAGTGACTTGTGGTTCATAATAATGATATAATTTGACAATTCTGGATTTACTATATTTTCTATGATGAGGGCTATTATGAGTGCAGGTCAGTACACCGTGTATTGTATTCTAATGCAGAGCAGTAGAATTGAAGGAAAATTATATTTTGATCAAGTTTGTTTGGATAATGGTTTAATACCATTATGCATGTACCTTCATTTCCTGAAAAATAACTTAAGATTAGATAAAGGAAGGATAATGATTGTGTGAACCTGTTATATGAAGTCAACGAAAAAGGCCTTTTAAATGTGGAGAAAAATATGAATGAATTTGTTCTTTGATAGATAGCCTAAATGGAATCAACTTAAGTGTGTGTATATATATGTAAAGAAGAGCAAAAGATAATTGTACAGATCTATTATGAGCTACCTGTCTGTGTAGATAAAAAAAAGTACTATTTGTCGCGTTGTGATGCCTGTGTTTTTATTTTTTGAAGTTATACCTCGATGTACAAAATTTATTAAAGAAACTTTGTGAATGTACGCTGCTATTGGGAGAAAAAAAATGTGAGAAAAGAAATATCAGAAAACATAAATAAAGCATGTCTATGAGCTATTACCGAGATAAAGGACTTGTTGTATTTATTGTTTGTATTGTTATTTAATTTAATGGTGAGAGGGAGTGCTAAGATGTATTTGATGGAGGGAGGATGGAGGGAGAGAGAGAAAGAGAAAGAGAGAGGGTGGGAGGGAAAGACAAAGAAATTGAAAGGGAGAGAAGGTGGAGGGAGATAAAGAGAAATCAAAAGAGATATTTGTGTATGTTTCAAGCTTAGTTCGATGGCATTTAATGTCAGACGACAAAGGATAGTATAGTCAGATTGGTATAGTAACGAGAGAGTCTTTTAATACTGATGGGGCCATCTGGCGCCCTCTTTTGATTGAAGCTTTACATGTGTTCTTCTAAAATCTCAGAAACAATATTGACACATCCTCCCCTCTTTGAGCTTTGTGCCGGAGAATGTCTCAATTTTGGAGGTCAATATCAACCTGGTACCAAAACAGATAAAAGATTAAAGAATATCAAAAGATTGGTTTATGAGATCTTTTACAATCATATAACTGCACAAAATAATATTTCAAAGCAAAAAATATCAGAGTCCTTTTGAGTTCTTGTGAGTCTTCATAGTGTCAGAAGATTTGGGATTGTGTTTAGAGTCCAGTTTCTTCAAATTTTAAAAAAAAGTTCAAATGTCCAAACAGAGTTAGATGAAGTGATGTCATTCACGTATCTCGCGAATGTTCTCTTTTTAAGTGTTCAAAATGTTACGAAATCTTTCATCTTATGCGGTTCTCGACGTTGTCTGTTTGAACGTCTCAGCGAGCTTGTGTTGTTCTCGTCAAGCGTCTCAGATGTACCATCACCGCGAAACTTCACAGGACTTGTAGTGGTAGATTGACGCTGCTCTGTAGTCCTCACCTTGGGTTGGTTATTGTCCTGGCATTCCCAGTTAAACATGTTGGGAATAGGATCAAGTGTATCTGACGTGGATGAGGTCGCTCTGAGATGTTCTCTGTTTCTACGAAGTGTTTGACCATCACAGCGAACTTCATATGATCGATCGTCTATTTTCTTCAGGATCACCGCTTTCTTCCATTTCTTTCTATGGTTGAATGGTTTCACACGTACAGTTGCTCCAAGTGGAAGATCCTTGAGCTTCCTTGTATTTCTGTTGAAATACTTCTCCTGTCGTCTCTGGTTTGAATTGAGTTTCTCGACATCAGGTCCTGAGTCACGATCAGGCATCAACAACTGAGTTGTGGTGGGTAGGAGTGTACGTGTTCGTCTACCCATGAACCTTTGCGCAGGACTGGTCTGGGTACCTTGAGTTGGTGTATTACGAACGTTGAGTAAGGCTAGATCAACGTTATCTCCAGTGTCCTTGCATTTGGTAAGCAGTCTTTTGGCAGTCTTAACAGCAGACTCTGCCTTGCCATTTGCCTTGCTGTTGTGAGGTGAGATGGTGTTATGCTTGATTCCCATCTCTTTGGCAAACTCAGCAAAGTCCCTTGAAGAGAAAGGAGGTCCATTGTCTGAGACAATGATCTCTGGCACTCCATAGCGTCCGATGTGACGTTTCAGTCGCTTGATAACTGCGGGGGCAGTCGTCCTCTGTAGCTTTTCTATCTCAAAGAAATTGGAGTAGTAACAGACCATAATGAGATAGTTCTCGTTATCATGATGGAAGAGATCGATTCCAATTCTTGACCATGGCCTGTCAGAGATAGGATGAGACATCAAAGGTTGGGCAGGTTGAGAGACTGAGTTTTCTTGACAGGTCTCGCATGTCTGGATCCACTCCTTTATCTCCTTGTTCATACCTGGCCAATAGACATATTCACGGGCTCTTCTCAAAGTTCCTTCGACTCCATTGTGGCCAATGTGTAACTCCTCCTTGATCTGTCGCCTCATCTGCTTAGGGATTACCAGCCGTTCTCCCTTGAAAATCAGATCATCAGTCACCGAAAGTTCATCTCTGAAACTGAAGTATGGAGTCAGTGACAAAGGAAGCTTTGTCTTGTTGTCTGGCCACCCATCAAGTATGGTGTCTTTGAGCTGGGAGAGAGTTGGATCTTGGGTAGTCTGTCTCTTTATCTCAGCTATCTTGTCATCAGGGAGAGACAAGAGTTTGACAGCATTCACCACCTCTAGATCATGCTGTCCGCTCTCAAACGGAAGAGAAGCACGGCTTAGTGCATCAGCCAAGATGTTGTCCTTCCCTTTAAGGTATTTCACTTCAACATCATACGCCATGGCGCGTAGTAACATTCCTTGTAGACGTTTAGGAGCTTTGTCCAGGGCCTTCTTCACAATGCACTCCAGTGGTTTGTGGTCACTATATACTGTTGTCTTACGACCAAAAGTGAACTGATTCCACTTTTCCAGTGCAAAGACTATTGCTAGCATCTCCTTCTCAATGACAGAGTATCTGGTCTCAGGATCACTCAGCATCCTACTGGCATATGCTATTGGTTGACCATCCTGTAGCATCACAGCACCTAACCCTGTAGCACTGGCATCAGTTTGGATTTGAAGTGGCTTGCTTTGGTTGTAGAACGCCAACACAGGAGCTTGTATCAGCATCTCTTTCAGCAACCTAAAGGCTTTGTCATGGTTGGAGTCCCAAGTCCACGCAGAGTAGTTGTGGGTTAAGTCATTGAGAGGCTTCATGACATCAGATAGTTTGGGCAGATACCTGGCCAAATAATTGACCATGCCACGTAAGCGATGGATGTCATCCTTGCAGGTTGGAGAACTCATGTTCAGGATTGCATCGATCTTGGATGGATCAGCTTTCAGTCCAGAGTTGGATACTATGTGGCCTAGGAACGAGATTTCCTTCAGTCGAAATTGGCATTTCTCCTTGTTCAACACTATGCCAACAGTTTGACATCTCTGTAGAAGACTCTGTAGTCGGGTATCATGCTCAGCATCACTGGTACCCCAGATTATGATGTCATCTGCCACACATCGTACCCCTTGAAGACCATCCAGTGCTAGATGAAGTCTCTTTTGGAAGATTTCGCTGCTAACCTTCAAGCCAAATGGTAGACGTTTCCATTTATACCTTCCCCATGGTGTTGCAAAGGTAGTTAGCAGACTTGAGTCGTCGTCAAGAACACAGTGCAAATATCCATCTTTGAGATCGCAGATGGAGAAGACCGTTGCATTGGACAGTTGAGGCAGGATATCATCGAGAACAGGCAGAGGATAATGTTCTCTTTTCAGCACGAGGTTGAGTGGTCTAGGGTCTAAGCACACACGCACTTTACCAGATTTCTTCTGTACAACAGCCATCTGGCTTACCCAGTCAGTTGGAGAACTTACTTCCTCAATCAGGTCTCTTGTCTGCAGTGCATCAAGTTCATCCTTCACAATACTTCTCAAGGATTCTGGTATCACTCTAGCAGGACGAACACTAGGGGTAGCTTCATCCATAACAGTCAGATGAACATCGTTCCCCGGCAGAGTACCAGTCACAGAGGATGAGAAGACCACAGGATACTCTTTGTGAAGATTCTCAGGAGCTAGGTTGCAGACATTCTCAGGAAATATGTTGTGGACTATTTCCATAGATTCGTAGTGAACAGTGATAAGCTGCATCTTCTCAGAAGCTGTTTTGCTTAGCAGTGGAGTCAGATCCTCCTTAACTATGACATAGTCAATCCTGTACTTTTTTCCAGTAGCTGGATTCCTTGTCACGACTTTGCACTTTCCCACAGCACGTAGTAGCGGAGAGTGGTTCCACATCCGGAGATGGATGCATTCATTTCTCACTACATCTTCTTCAGACAGAAACTTCTGTGGGAGAACACTCACTGTTGCTCCAGAGTCCAACTGGAACTGTACTCTTCGACCATTTAGTAGCATGTTGCAAAAAATTGGTCCATCTTCAGGACTTACTGTATTTATCTGTACAACACTGATACTTTCAGTGGAGGAGTACTCATCATCTTCGAGTTGGTGAACACTCTTGGAAGTACACACTGCAGATCCCTTGAAGTGATTGGGCTTATGGCACACATTGCACTTTTGACCCCATGCAGGGCAGCATTCCTTCTTCATTTCGTGTGATTTATTACAGAACTTGCACTTTTTGAGCTCTTTCGGCTTCTGCTTTACAAACTTCTGCTTTCCACTTCCAGTTTTAGCATGTTTAGGGAAAGGTTTTCGATTCACCCTGTTGATTTCCTCACTTTTCAACGCCTTCATGTGAGTAGACGTCACTTCAACTGCTTTACAAACATCAATGGCAGTAGAGAGGTCAAGATCAGATTTGGAGATGAGTAGTTCTCGCATACGATCATCACGTACTCCCAGTAGAACACGATCAACGAGCAATTTGTCATTCATGCAGTCACAGAATCCACACGTCTTACTCATTGTACGCAGAGCTGTCACATACTGTTCAATAGATTCACCATCTTCCTGACTGCGTTGATTGAACTTGAATCTTTCAAAGAATTCTCTGCTCTCACCAAGGAAATGTTTATCAAACTTATCCAGTATCACAGAGCATTTCACACTTTCAGCGGCATTAGCAAACTTCATGCCGTTGTAGACACGCAGACAATCTTGACCCACACTGTGCAGTAGTAGTGCAGTTTGGTACCGATCTGGTTGTTTGGAGAGGTTTGTGAGAATAGTGTAGTTGTCCCATTGCTGTCTCCAGATTTTCCACCCTTCAACTAGACCTACATTTCCCGCAGCCGCATGGAAATGACCAGGGGGTTGGACAGAAGGCTTTACGAAATGGGCCCCTTGCAAATCACCCTCAGTACCCTCAGGAGACACAGTGTCAGGCATGTTGTACACCACAGCAAACAATTCAGACAGAGATCTCGAATTTCAATGCTTTGCATGCAAGTAACACTACACAAACTTACATGAGTGGGGCTGACTATACGTTGAGTTGACTCTCAAAGTAAACAGGTGAATTCCAGTTCATAACACGGTATGCAGACGCATGATAGAGTTATAGGTGTATTACAAACACTTTCCTACATGGATTTACAAACTTTCACCGCTGTCATCATGTTTCAAGCTTAGTTCGATGGCATTTAATGTCAGACGACAAAGGATAGTAATTAGTATAGTCAGATTGGTATAGTAACGAGAGAGTCTTTTAATACTGATGGGGCCATCTGGCGCCCTCTTTTGATTGAAGCTTTACATGTGTTCTTCTAAAATCTCAGAAACAATATTGACACAGTGTACACTTATATCATAGATCAAATAGATCAACATTAAAAGGAGAGAGACAGACAAGCATAGATAGAGAAAGAAAGAGAGAGAGGGGTAAATAATGGAGTTGTGAAAAAGAGAGTATTGAAACAGAAAGAGAATGAACAGTGAACAAGGAGAAGAGATAGGGAAGGGGGTGAATCACAGAGAGGGATGGAAGCATCTGTAGGTAATCTGAAATGGGAGAAAGAATGCAGCGAATGAGAGGGTAAGTTCAAGTTCAAGTTCATTTATTCAAAACCACACAAAACATGATATAACCTTTTACATAAAAAAAAAAGAGACTGGTAATACATAGTACATTTATCAACATATATTAACTTGATTACATCATTAAATGAATGGTTTTAGGAGTCCTGTAGAAGCTAAGCTTATTATAATAATAGTTTGGATGAACTTGAAAGAGGAGAAGGGAGTAGGAACATAAGAGAAGTCAAAAGTGAGAAGGAAACGATGGTGTGGGGGATGTAATAGGAAGGTAAAGAATACATTTGTGTACTAAGCGACACCATACAATCTTGGTTATGAAAGTAAGTAGATACATTCAACAAGCAACACGTGCGTTTACTATACACATCATAAATATAGCTAGCTGTCTGCTATGTTTCATGCCTGCAACGTGCGTGAACGTGTCTGTATTTCGATAAATGCGACAGAGTCATGTCGAAATACAACCGAGGAAGTAACATTTTTGCTGGGTTCAGATCCTTAGGATTTGTCTGCAACAATGTGCCACATGGAATGCGCTACCATGCAAGATCAAAAGACCATTATGTGATCACCGCCATCGGAAAAGCCTTCCACACATACCGGGTCAGTATTTTTTTTTTTTACTGTAGTCCCACGTATTTATTTTTGAGATATGTATGTGGACGTGGACCTTCGTGAGACAAACTTATTGAAAGAGGACCATTGACATGTAGACAAGTCTCATAAGCTTATCATATCATGAAACGCCTTGGATGGTATCATAATTTCTGACAATTCAGCAACATAGTTGTAGCTAAATCAAATTTAAACTTAGCAAGCAAGCACAAAAATCAAATAAAAAAACGACCTCGCATTTCACAAGCAAAGAATCAAAATCTTTTAAAGTTTTTTATTTTTGGGGTCTGTGGTGAACACTGGTGATTATCATCAGGTCTTAGTGGGAAATATGTTACAAAAACATTGAGATCATGAAAAGCGAGTAGGCCTAGACTAGAGTCTAATTTGAGAACGGTAACATGCCATCGATAATTAAAGTCACATCATAGACAGTAGGGGCGCTGGTCCGAGAATAAGGATCGTCTTCATAAACGAGGATCGTCTTCTTTAACACTGACGGATGCGTCCTCAAAAATAAGGACCGTCTGCATTTTTGCAGACGTTTCATATTTTTGATCGGCGCATTGGCGATGCAAAAACGGATTCTGCAATGATTTTCTTGATGCAATTTACATTGACTTTGTACAGAGACCTTCACATTATGAGCAATAAATCCTTGGGAAGACGGACAACCCATAAAAGTAGACGGACAACTAGGGTTATTTTCCCCCGGGGAATCCATTTTTGGCATCGCCAGCAGGCCGTTCTGTAACATGAAACCCCCAGAGCGCCGATGAAAAAAAACGTCCTCGAAAATGCAGACGACCCTTATTTTTGAGGACACATTTTGTCTTCGTTTATGAGGATATCCTTGTTTATGGGGACAATCCTCATTCTCGGACCAGCGCCCCTACTGATAGAAGTCGGCTCTCATGGGGAATTCGACACCGTTCGGGTGTTTACCCAAATAACAGGTGTTGTCAATCACCAGGGTTAGCCTTGAGTTTTATGACCATTATACCTTATGTTAGGCACATTCATGGGGCACTAGAGGGCGCTTCGGTCGCGTACGAAAATCTGAATGGCCTTGCTGCGGTGGGTCGGCAATAATCAGCCCAAAACTTGGATATGGGAGGTTGGAAGGATATATCTTTTTTATAATGTTATCCGGTCTTACCCTTAACCATCCTATGTTTAATCTATGAGGGAATAACATGCGAATATGATAAGAGAAACATCGGGACCATTACTGAAGTAACTTTTAAAATATTAGCCTAGAAATGACCACCAAACGGAAAAAATTGACATTTTTTCCCGACAAATCTTCATAAAATCTGAGTTATAAACAATTCACATCTAGGTACACTAATACAAATACGATTTTCTGAAAACTCAGGTATGATTTTTTAAGTTTCTTTCAAGTATATTTCTGCGCATTGCAGCGCCAATATTCTTCACTGCTTCAAAATCACCCTTGATTTTTTTTTTTGCAACGAATTTGATACGAGGTCCGCGAGTGTTCCCCGTTCCTTGCGTGTTGAAAGTTTGGTAATACTAGTTTGCATTGACTCGCGCACGAAAAAATGGTCAAAAACAAAATGTCAAATGAAGAAATAAACAAGCTTTTGTATAGTTATAAGAGTTCTACCGAGGTTTCTTTGTCGATTTAATTTATTATATAGTCTCAATTAGAATCCAGAATTATCTCACTGAAAAGTTAAGAAACCGACGATGTTCTCGATTGTAGCTATTTTCATTTTGCCAGCAGCCGATCTAGCGTTGTTTGGGCAAAAAGCTAGGCCGCTGCCTTCCCACCGCGAACCTTTCAGAGTCCCGCTAAAATGGCGCGCTGCGAAGCTCCGAAGCTGCGTTGGTATCGCTGCAAACTCTCAGCTAGCTCCCCATGACGGACCATTCGCGGTATGGTGACAGTGTGTGTGTGAGGTATGATTTTGGATTCGAGAACGCACGTAACGCAACCGTGCGCGTCATTTAGAGCTGTCGAATGTGTACGACCAATTTTACATGTACGATTTTTAGTACAGATACTTGGTCAGTTTTCTTCTTATATCTTTGGTTTTACAACATTTAAAAATATAATTTCTTCAAATCTGCTCCTGACTCGGTTCAGACTAATTGTCTGATGTGTTTTCAAGTCAATTTTTTGAATATATTTTTTTGCATGAATTTGCCTACTTATGTAATGCTTTGCTTTTCCTTCGCCCGAATAATCTCCGAGCATGCTCCGAGAGACTAGGGGGTCATTCTTGACGGGCCAACGGGTTTGCTGTGTGCAGATTTGTACTCCCATTAATAGGCACATTCATGGGGCACTAGAGGGCGCTTTGCGCGCGTACGAAAATCTGAATGGCCTTGCTGCGGTGGGTCGGCAATAATCAGCCCAAAACTTGGATATAGGAGGGTGGAAGGATATATCTTTTTTATAATGTTATCTGGTCTTACCCTTAACCATCCTATGTTTAATCTATGTAGAAATAACATGCGAGTACGATAAGAGAAACATCGGGCCCATTACTGATGCAACTTTTAAAATATTAGCCTAGAAATGACCACCAAACGGAAAAAAATTGACATTTTTTCCCAACAAATCTTCATAAAATCTGATTTATAAACAAGTCACATCTAGGTACACTAATACAAATACGATTTTCTGAAAATTCAGGTATTATTTTTTAAGTTTCTTTCAAGTATATTTCTGCGCATTGCAGCGCCAATGTTCTTCACTGCTTCAAAATCACCCTTGAAATTTTTTTTTTGCAACAGATTTGTTACGAGGTCCGCGAGTGTTCCCCGTTCTTTGCGTGTTGAAAGTTTGGTAATACATAGTTTACATTGACTCGCGCACGAAAAAATGGTCGAAAACAAAATGTCAAATGAAGAAATAAACAAGCTTTTGTATAGTTATAAGAGTTCTACCGAGGTTTCTTTGTCGATTTAATTTATTATATAGTCTCAATTAGAATTCAGAATTATCTCACTGAAAAGTTAAGAAACCGACGATGTTCTCGATCGTAGTTATTTTCATTTTGCCAGCAGCCGATCTAGCGTTGTTTGGGCAAAAAGCTAGGCCGCTGCCTTCCCATCGCAAACCTTTCCGAGTCCCGCTAAAATGGCGCGCTGCGGAGCTCCGAAGCTGCGTTGGTATCGCTGCAAACTCTGAGCCGGCTAGCTCCCCAAGACGGACCATTCGCGGTATGGCGAGATTGTGTGTGTGAGGTACGATTTTGGATTCGAGAATGCACGTTATGCAACCGTGCGCGTCATATTCAGCTTTCGAATGTGTACGACCAATTTTACATGTACGATTTTTAGTACAGATACTTGGTCAGTTTTCTTCTCATATCTTTGGTTTTACAACATTTAAAAATATAATTTCTTCAAATTTGCTCCTGACTCGGTTCAGACTAATTGTCTGATGTGTTTTCAAGTCAATTTTTTTAATATATTTTTTTGCATGAATTTGCCTACCATTAATGGTATTTCCACCAAGTCTGGTGTCAGCGAATTATAGCCTTCTGCACATGGAAACTGACTACCCACTCCCTTTAAATCGTAAATCCACAAGTCGAGAAATGTTTTAATTTAAGGAAAAGTAAGGACTGTGTTTCTTTTCTGTTTTTACAATGCAATTAAAGATCTAATGATCTTTATCTCATATTCTGTCTTCAGGTATCCAAGTTGGCAATCGTCGCAGTGAGTAAGTATTACAAAATTCGGAATTGGAAGGCAGAGAGAAAGTAGGCCTAATGCCCAGCTTCTTTTTGTAGACCATCCTATTTCTTTTAGCTTTTCAGAAATATCTTAAATATGTAAGAGACCTGTTTCATTTTTCACAAAGAAAGCTTGACAAGAATCACATCATTTGATTATCTGTTTGTGGCCTTATTGATGTGTACTTTTTCAAAGATAATAACTTTGATTATTGAAAAAATATTAGTTGTTTGCCTGACCCAACCACTTTTTAATATAAATTTGTATGAAGGTGAGTCACATTTTATAATTATATCTAGCCACTGTATTATCAGAAACAAAAAGCATATGACAATGCCTTTCTGTCTCTAGTTATTGACATTGCATGATTGCGCTTCCTCAGAATTGTTGTATAGTTGATTGTTTCACATCTTAAATCAAGACAACACTTACAGTTGATGATGTTTCCATTTTACCTGACTGCTAAGGAAGCAAGTATGTTCTTGAAGTTAGGCAGCAAGTGGACTTATGACTGGAAGCCTTATTTGAGGGACTTGGGGAAATGAGGATTAAACCTTACCCTTGGGCATTTTAATTACGCATTTACTTCTGTGTTACAAGACTGCTGCTTTTTCACTTCACTGTCATATCTATTTTCAAGAGGTTTTTTACTAGCTCATGGTCATGAAAGTGTTAAAAGTTAAATACACCAGACAATATTTTATCACTGCAATAACTTAGCAAAAATGGGCTCAAGTATATTTATGAATCAGCAGGAACAGATTGAATTCAGAGTTTGGATTCATGGGGAAGGATGCTAAAGGTCACAGGATCATTATGCAATGAACGTACATATTAAGGCTGTGCACAACAGTGTAATGAAGTACCCGAGTACACTCCCAGGCTCAAAAGCGAATACTCGAATATTCGGACGCCATGTTTTTTTATAATTTTTTTGAATTTTTTTTGAATTTTTTTGAATTTTTTTGAATTTTATTAATTTTTTTAATTTTTTGATTTTTTGATTTTTTTGAATTTTTTGATTTTTTTGCCACTACCATACCACTCGGCAGTTTCCCAGATCCCTCGCCGAAACTGCATGCAACTTTACTTTGAGTTGCAGTTGAAGGCGCCGATTTAATAAGAATAATAACAGTAAACAATGCTGTTTTAAAAACCAAAGATGGCAGAATAATTCATTTTCCTCCAAGTCCAAACAGAAATCTGGACATTTGGTCCCAGTTTCTGAAAGGTGAGTTTGACAGCGCTTGAGTTGGGAAACATTTTTACCGACGGTACCATGCCAGCGGCTGCCGCTCTCCCTGGCACCCGGTAAGCGTGGGCCTGGACATTTTTTTTTTTTTTTTTTTTTTTTTTTTTTTCATTTTTTTTTTTTTTGCGGCTGAATATTCGGGTACGAGAAATCGTACCCGAGTAGTTGTTAACCGTGCGGGTACTCGAGCATTCGACTACCCGTCGCAGCCTTAGTACATATACCTGTGGAGGCATATTCAAGACTGGTAGTCGCATTCATCTTGTTTTTCCTTCCTTCTCAGGTGACACCCATCCGGAAGATATCACCTGTCTGGTTGCTGATGCCTTCCTAGCTTACACTGCTTGCAAGAATGTAGTACGGGCATTCACACTTGGACAGAAGGTGGGTACTGCTATCAGGGGGAGGTGTACTAGTATTTTATTCCAGACAACTGTGTATCCTGGCCAAATGTGAAGAAATTATTGAATTTCTAATGATTAGTCCCTCTGAAACTAGTATAAGCAAATTGTGTAAGTAGCAATAAAATAGGCATACTCAACTCGTCCACATAGAGCTAAAGAATGTAGCATTTGAGGACTTAAGATGTGTGGTCGTATCAGATAGAAGGGTAGAGAAGGATTGTGGAGTCAAATGTGTGATTGTAATTCTTGAAAAATCCTAAAGACTTGGTAAAGCCAAATGAGATTTGTATTGTTAAAATATATAACTTGTGTAAAATTTATGTAGACTTAAAACCAACCAGTGTATCTACAAGACTGACATATACTATAGAATTGAAATTTAACCGTCCATCGCATCAGCTTCAAGACTGACCCGGGTCAAACCATTAGTGTGAATGCTGTCCCATTTTCATATGGTATCTTTCCATTTTTTATTTAGGTTGTTCATACGTACAATGGTCACACCTCTGATGTCCATCTTTTGCTGCCGTTTGGTGACCATCTCGTTAGCGTTGATGCAGACAGTAATCTCAAGATATGGGATATCCAGTCAGAAGGTATGCCATCACAAGTACAAGTTTTTTGTCAAGAAATCAACATTTAATAGTGACGTAGAGAGTATTTTATTATTGAAAAAACAGTATCCTTCAATTTGATTCAGTTTACTTTGTATATCCTTGCAAATAAACTTTGTCTGCGCTTAATATTAAGGTGCATGCCAAAATTAGTATGTCGTTACTAAGAATAGAAACAAACACTTAATTGAACAATTTTTGTATATGGATTGACATGAGTAGCTCTTCATATTAAGGGTGAAGGAAAGTCAGAGTGCATTATTTGAATGTAGTAAAATATAGTTTTTGTTTATCTTTGTTAAAACTGGCCTGGTAGGAGCTCATACCCTGCTTCTGTTGATACACCCTGTATAGCTAGAACACACGTGGAGGGTCAAATAGATTTGTTTACAATATACATCGGAAATCAAATTACCTCTTGCTATATAACACTTTCATTTCTTACCCCTAGAGCTGTATTTAGATCTACCGTTCGACAACAACATATTCCGGATATCAGCTCTGATGCACCCAGCGACATACCTCAATAAGATATTATTAGGAAGTCATCAGGGTGGCATGCAACTATGGAATATCAAATCAAAGTAAGTGTTGTTTCTTGTGTAATTGAATTCAGTTTACTTTTAGGGAATGATTCAGGTAGTACATGGTCATGGAATAGGAAGAATGAAATATCCCAAGTTGAAGTAAATAAAATTAGAAATGATTTGGGTCCTTCTTGATTATGTTTTGTAAGTTGTATGAAAATTCACATTTCCTACTTGTGACATTGTTCTTTCCTTTTTCCTCATAAGCTCAATCCGAAACAAACAATTTAATTATGTAATGGGTACAGCATTTTTAATTCATCAATATAAATGAAAAATCTACTTAACATACAGGGTTGACCAAAGATTATTTGTCTGAACTGCAATCTGGCTCTGCAAATATTCTAGACGTGTTTTCATGCTCTTAAATATCACTTGTTTGTATGAAAGTCCTTTTAAATATATTGACATCAATTTTGCATATCATCTTTTGTAGTAAGTTGCTGTATACTTTCCAGAACTTGGATTCTCCTATAACAGTCATCAAGCAGGTAAATGCTAAAATTCTATTTGAAGTAAAAGACAATTTGCTGGTTTGTTTTGAAAGTTTGTTTTAAGACAATGCTTTCCATATTTAATAATAATAATAATAATAATAATAATAATAATAATAATAATAATGTTTTATTTACCCAGGGTAGCCACTTCAGTTATATAACTGCTCTTCCAGCGGGCCCTGCATAACATCATGTTACTATTACCCTTCTCCAATCTAATATGCTGAGCACCTAGCTAGAAGGCAGAAGGTCCCATTGTTAAAAGTCTTTGGTATGACTCGGCCGGGGATCGAACCCACGACCTCCCGTTCATGAGGCGGACGCTCTAACCATTGAGCCACCATGCCCGGTTCTTTTATTTTTAATTTATTTAAGGTTAAGGTTAAGTATACCTGAGAAGAACAATTATGTTTTGGTATGAAAATTGTTAGATAACGCTTTGCTAATGATATTATCAGGGACTTATCAGAAATAATTTAGAGATGCCCATCTGTTAAACAAGTTACCCATTGCATCATCCATTGAAATAGGCAAATGTTATCATTACACATTAACCTTATCTATTTGCTTCATGCAATTAAACAAGTTTCTTACTTTAATAGGTGGAGGGGATGGTGTGTTGAAAGACAATGTCATAATCTTCAAATCATTCGGCTATATTTAATTTGAACAATCACTAGCTTTTTTATGACTTCTTTGTGTACATTTTTGTTCCATTTGCACACATTCAGTCTCCAGCAGTTGATGTCGTAGCTATAGGTCTCGCTAACGGAAAGATCATTCTGCTCAACATCAAGTATGACGAGACGATCGTGACTTTCACCCAAGACTGGGGACCTGTCACAGATATTGCCTTTCGCACAGGTACTTTTTTCTCTCTCCTTACATACATACATACATACTGTATTTAGATATTTTCAATCTGTGGACTATAGACACTTAGTGTGTGGCATGCATTGTTCTTCATTATATACTGTACTTTTTTTTCATTCCTCATTTCTCTTCTCTTTCTCATTCTTTTTGTCTTGTGACTGAGAAAATATTCTCATTCTAAATATTGTATGGCGAGTGAATTTTATTATGTATGCTATTATTTCAAAGGTTACGGTTGCCATAGTTCCCCATCTGTTTTACATTGTCAGTGATGTTACTTCACAACTGCAATGCATTTAGATTTTACCAATTCATTACCTTCCTAAACACTATTTAGTTGTGTCCAAGGGGTTGCGCCCACCTCTCCCCCATTTTAAGAACCACTGCACTAAGTCTGTTCACTCCTAAAACATTTACATAATTTTTGGACGACTCCTCATAAAGCTATGAATTCACCTTTTAAGCAACCAAGTTTCTGTTTAGCATCAAGCATTCATGTAAACAAAGTGTCTTTTAGTTTCAATCTTGTCAAATGTGTGTGTTGCTGTCCAGTGAGCAGCAATATCTAATTTTTCTTCAATAATGATAACTTTCTCTCCCCTTTCTCTTTCAAGATGGCAACCCTATCATGGTGACTGGTAGCACAGCAGGACATCTTGCCATCTGGAACCTTGAAGAGCGCCGCCTACAGGCCCAGATGAGAGATGTTCATGCCGGAGCCGTGGCCGCTGTTTCGTTCCTCACCTCTGAGCCCATTCTTGTGACCAATGGTGGTGATAATACTCTCAAGGTGGGTTTGTAAAGCTCCTGATGTGCCATGAAATTGGAAAGAAATGTCTTGTTTTGTTATTCATTTAACATCAACTTTAGCTAGGCCACTAATAAGGGTCACTTCCTCTCTGGCTGCAACCTACCAAGCAACTTTTATATTGTTGTACCAATGTATATACATGTATTCTATTATTTTCATGTAACAATGTATAGGTCTATGTATCTATGTTATTTGTTAATTGCTTTAGTGAAATAAAATTGAATTGAACATAACGATCTTTGAGTGTATAGGAGGAAATTTAAAAAGAGACTGTGATGGATATGCAAATATTTTATGAAGAGTTTATGGTGTGCTTTCAGTTTACTACACTGCATTAGAATTATACATACATGCACACGTTTCTTATTTCCGTCTCCCTAAAATGAAGGTATGGATATTTGACCAACCTGATGGAAGTGGACGAATCCTGAGACTGAGGAAAGGCCACAGTGCTCCACCAACCTGCATCAAGTATTATGGCAAGATGGGCAAAAACATTCTAAGTGCAGGTTGGTTCAGATTGTGTTTTTGTCACTAAAACGTTATGCTGATGGTGAGGATGATGATGATGATGATTTGGGTAACTTTGGAGGTGCATAGAGATGTTATTTCATGACATATTATGCGCTATACAAGAACTGACCTATTATTATTGTTATTATTATTATTATTATACCATTCTATATTGGTAACAGTCAATAGAAATGCAGTAATATTCTTTTTTTACCTTATGAATTCATAGTGATACTGAAGATTTTCAATTCCCAATTTTGAAAGCTTCCACTATCCTTTATGAAAAGGACATTGATATGTTGCTATTTAAAAGAATCTTCTTCTGGAGCAATGAGGGAAGAGTGATGGAAAAGAAGAGAGTTGATGATGATGATGACATTTTAATTCATTGATAAGGTCAAGATGGTACACTAAAATCATTCTCCACGGTCCATTACATGCACAACAAAGACCTCGGTGCGGCAGCCTATGACGAGGCACTCGTGAAGAAGGAAGATATACAACTAAGGAAAGAGAAATACAAAAATGCTGATAAAATGAATTGAAATTAATTATTTTGCATTTTGTTGATTGATCAGGTCAAGATGGTACTCTGAAATCTTTCTCCATGGTCCACGACAAGCACAACAAAGATCTTGGTGTTGCAGCCTATGACAAGGCACCAGGGAAGAAGAAGGACAGTAAGAAAGGATGGAAACACATGAGGCCTATCACATGCTTTGCTGCAGGTAAGGTCAAAGGTCGACCCATGACATGGGGACTCCTAATTCTTCACGAGGAGGTCAAGTTAATAGAAGCAAAAGTTCCTTGGTTATTAATAAGATATTAATAATAATAATAATAATAATATGACAAATTTATATAGCGCTTGTGACAAATGTTTCAAAGCGCTGTACATGTACACAAATCAAAATTACTTCAAACAAAAAATCAATATTACTAATTGAATTAACATTACTCAATTATCAAGAAAACAAAATATTACTAACATAACTTCACAAATTATCATTATTTAAATTAACAAGATCAAATATTTCTAACATAACTTAACAAATTAACATTACTTAAAAAAATTACCAAGAAGTATTGGCGAAGTTTTTCATTTGTATTGTAAGTGGTGTGTTCCATGTTATAAATATGTACTCAGTAATTATGACACTGATTTATGAGATTTCTTGTTATCACCATAGACATTCTTAACATTTTTTATTACTGTATAAGCCACTGTTTTTGCATATAGATATCTTTGTATATGACAGTGACACAAATATTTTTGTGAATTGTACTTTTCACAATAAAGTTTTCACAATGATAAGCCTGGCCACTTACACATATTTTAATATATGCACTACCACCTCATCTTATGGACTTTCAAGAATTGAGATATCACAACAATCCTTTGAATTTGCAAAAAATAAACACCCTTGCAGAAATGACTGCTTATACATGTTTTTTAAACTCCACAATTATTTTGGAGGACTATTTGTGAAAAGTATATCAGAGTTGAAGAAAACTATTTTTGTTACTTCTGTAGAAACAAGTCGTGAGAGTGACTGGGATGGTATAGCAGCCTGTCATCAGGGTACATCCATGGTGACAACATGGAACTACCAGAAGAGCAACATGGGCAAACATAAAATCAAACATGATCGCTTCAAAGGAGTACCGGGTGTCCAGGCAACGGTAAGGGCTCTTGGCCATTTCCAGAGTATTTATTGGGCTACAGATTGAATCCCTTGAATGTCATATTATTTGGGCGTATATGTTAAGTATACTTTGTACCTGAGATCAAACTTGACTGTTACAGACCATTCTTTGTTTTGATAGTCTACAAAAGCAGTCAAAGAGTTAAGTCTCCTACCACCTCAAACTTAAAATGTCATTGGCTTTATACCTGTTACTTTTGGCTATGGTATTGAAATGGGTATTGCATAGGATATCTGCGGCATGATGGCTTGCTGATCAGACTCATGTATTAAAGTTCTTTTGAAGGGAAAGAAGGCATAAGGGAGACCTCACAATGTTTTCTTGAGTGGCATCATTGCATTTTGTTGAGGAGTGGAGTATGGAGAAATTACCACTTTATAAATAAATTTGGGGCTATACTTGTGGCTGGTATTAGTTTGACCAATTATATGCAATTTGTGAAAGCATGAAATGATAAATGAGTTTGCTTATGCTTTAATATACAATTGTTGTATCAAATGCTTGGCCATCCTTTCAAAACCAAGATTACTAATATCCTTTTTTTGTTGTTCAGGCTGTGGACATATCATCATGTGGTAACTTCTTAGCCGTAGGCTGGAGTACTGGAGATGCAGACCAATACAACATTCAATCAGGGATTCACAGAGGGACATATGGTGATCCTAAAGGTAAGGAGGCCCTCTCTTCCTTAATTGTTCAGTCTTGGTGAGAACAACCGGAGATTTTATCATTCAATTTTCAATTTATTACAGTATCATCATCACTGTCATCATCATCGTCATCATCGTTGTCACTATCATCATTGTTATCATCTTCATCATCATCTTCATCATCATCTTCATTATCATCATCATCATCATCATCATCATCATCATCATCATCATCATCATCATCATCATTACTGTCATCTTCATCATCACTATTTCCACCCTCACCACCACCATCATTACAACCTTCATCCTCATTGCTATGTGCATCATTATCATCGCCATCAGCATCATTAACCATCATCCCCACTATCTTTACAATGTTTATCCTCTTCATCCTCTTTAGTGTCATCATAGCTTTGTCACCAAAATTACTACACTAACAAGCTGTATCAATATTTTTCAATCACAACAGCTTCCTACCTCTTGCACCAAATTTGAATAATTAATAATCTCTTTTCTTCTTGCTTCTTCTGAATGCAGCCCATGATGGTGCAATCCGTGGTCTAGCCATCAACGGTCTCAACCAGGTCGTTATCACCGGGTCAGCAGATTGTCAGCTCAAGTTCTGGCATTTCAAGAAGAAGAATCTCCTTCAAAGTTTAGAGTTTAGTCTTCCCATTAGTCAGCTCCTCCTGCATAGAGAAAGGTATGCCTTCAAATCTGTTTGATTCTGATATATTATCAAATTAGTGTGCAGAATAAAGAGGAAGACTACAGACAAATGTCTATGTTTTTGTATACAGTCTTTCACTGACCTTTGTTATCAAATTATTGTTTTTGTATGGCAATATTAAAAAACAACTATAGTATAGTAAATTAACAAACTAAGTAACTTTAAACTTTTCTTTTTCAACCTATCTTTATGGATGCAAAAATTGAACCTGACAATGATTTGAAAGCTTATTTACCCAACATGCATTGTACACAAATTTTCAAGCAGCTAATGAGAAATGATTGTGACACTCTTGAGAGCTTCAGCTGAGAACCAATAGCACAGATGGGGTCACCCACCATTGTCCTTTTGGGGCCATGAGATTTCAAAGTAGACTAGCCCATTGGGGTTTCACTTTAAAACTAAATTGGATGTGGTTTATTCATCACTGTAAAGGAGGGGGGGTGCCAAAATATACCCTTAGATTTATTTTCTATAAGTAATGTTTTGATGTTTCTTGAAAGCGAAGTATGGCCTGTGATCGTAGTATTGACCTTTTACATATTCCATTCTTGACTTCCTCCATAGTTCCATGTTAGCTGTTGTGACAGACGACTTCACCATCCATGTAGTTGATGCAGATCTCAAGAGGGTTGTGAGAAGGTTCTCTGGACATCATAACAGAGTCACAGACCTGGTAAGTAAAGCTCAATAGATACATGTATAACCTTGAACAATCTTGTGTGAGTAATGATGTATGTAAGTGTCATTTCTCTAAGTACCACTCATAGGACATTTGGTATCTGAAGGTTAAGCTGCCCCTTTTTGCTTCGTCTCTCATCAGTTCGAAATAGAAATAGGAATGTACAATACAAATTTAATGTGGTATTAGATAGGTACTGATAGAAAGGAATTCCTTGAATGCTGTGAGCACCTGAGTTGGTAGCATAGCAGGGCCAGGATAATATTGGCGAGCCTTGAGCACCATGCATGTTGAATATGTGTGCTATAAAAATATCCAATATTATTATTATTATTTGTCAAAATCTACCATATGGACAGACTCATGATTAACTGGACACCCACAAATCTTTGATAGTTGAGATGAGCTTTAATACCTGTGGATCTGGATTGATGAAATAATACATTTTGTTTCTTTCTTTCTATCATCAGGCATTTAGTCAAGATGCACGATGGCTCATCACATCATCCATGGACTGTACAGTAAGGACATGGGATCTTCCTACTGCAAAGTAAGTCATCCAAAGCAGTGCTACACATTCAATACACTATACTGATATCCAATAAAAAGCAAAGGTACCACTCAAGTAACCTTGTTAGTTTTGCACTGATGATTATCATTTGATTATTACATTAATCAACCAGTCCTGATATCTATTTGAAGATTTTTTTTTTTTGAGCAGAAGGCAGTCATTTAGATTAAGAATGCTATAAAATATAATTGTCTTGAAGTAGTTCATTGATTAGCAACATTACAATTGATTGGAAGTATATGATAGCCTATAGATGTAAAGAATTAGGTATTTTATGAATAAATTTAATAATATTCTTTTATCTTAGGTTTTCAGAATATTCATAGTGAGCATTATGATAATAATAAGAAAATTAGATCGATTTACATAGTCCAGCTTATATATAAATATACTTCACTGCGCTGATGTACATATATGTAAAAATCTTCAAATGATGAAATTTATCTTTATTCTTCTCTTTTAACCTCATTTTCTGTTTATTTTCATTTTTTAGGTTAATAGACTGTTTCCTTGTGGATGAAGCTGTTACGAGCGTCACACTCTCACCAACCAATGACTTTCTAGCTACCTCACATGTTGACGATCTAGGCATCTATTTATGGTAAGAAATATCACAACCTTGCATTCTATGCTTGTATTACAACCATATCTATCTCAGCTCAAAAGCACCAATAAGTCATTGTAATGCTTTTCTTTTTGTTGCGCTTTTTTTTTTAACCTAGAGATTCTAGCTTTCCAATAATATGTATAGTTTACTCCAATATAAGCCATTTAGATAAAAACAATTGATATATATTCAGAGAAATTTACAGATGACTATGGTAAGTCCATGCTGAATTGTTGATGTACATAAGTTATTTGAATATTTTTAATGTTTCCATTTCAATAGCATGTGCAAGGTGACTGGCTAGAATGCTGGGATGGAGGGTGTGTGGGGGGACATGGGTAATAATCGTATGTCAAACAATTAGAAACATCTGTATGGATCATTAGACAAATGCAACTATTATCATTATTGGGGTGTTTTAGTGATGATTTAATTCTTATTTTCCTCAATGTCAGGTCCAACAAGACCCTGTACAGCCATGTGAGCATAAGACCTCTACCTGATGACTATGTGCCTACTCTCATCAGCTTACCCGGGACTAGTGCTGAGAAAGGTTAGTTGAATCCCCTTCTTTATTACTTATTTTTTCCTAAGATTGACTGATTTTAAAGAATAAATAGGAGTCATAGCTTGAAAAGAGCAATTGTTACTCATAAAGAGTCATTCAAATAAATTTTACTCACTGAATCATTTTTGTTTGATTTTGTTTCACAACTTATTTACTTCCTCCAAATTTTCAGAATGCACAATTATCCTTGTTGAGATCACAATAGACAATTCAGATTAACTTTTAGACATCATGATTAGTATTCAAAATCACCTTTTACCCTTGACCAATATCAACTTTAATCTAAGTCTATGGAAACCGGGTTATACCAATATTTAACTACATTCATTAGTTCAGTTCATATTTGTTTTCATTCTAACCCACTGAAGGTCAAGCTACTGGAGTGGATGTTGAGGCTGGAGATGAGAAGATGGAGGAGGAGGATGAGGAAGAAGAGAAGGAGGAGGAGGAGTTGATGGAGTTCAAATCACCAGATCAGATAGGAGAAGAATTGATAACCCTCTCATTGCTTCCTAATTCAAGATGGCAGAGTCTTACTCACTTAGATCTTATTAAGGTCAGTATGGGGAAAGAGTTATGACAGCAAATGCTAGAGGGAGGAATGGGGTAGAGAGAAGGGAAGTAATGTAACCCTTCTTTCATATTTTACTACATGTATGTTTCTCAAAAATATTTTTTAATTTTTTCTTGAGACTCTCAAATGGAGATCGTGGAGGGCGTATAATTCGAAACCCCAAATTACATCAAAAGTTAAATCTAAAGAAGTATGCTAAAACCAAGATAGACTCCAAAGTGTGAACATTAATTGCCCTCTTTGAAGTGATCTTTATGAGATGTTTTCTTACAAATGTAATGTATTCATGTATTTTTTTTATGCCGTTGTCCTAGCTTTATACTAGTTGTCTTGACGATAACTTTGGCTAAATGTTTCACAGTCCTTGTTATTTTTTATTCTTAATTGTTATTTGTAAACAGAAAAGGAACAAGCCAAAACAACCACCCAAGGCACCCAAGGCAGCTCCATTCTTCCTACCGACAGTAGCAGGTCTTACACCCAAGTTTATAGCCAGCTCTGATGAACAGACAGATAAGGTAAGAACAGGTGCTTCTTGACTTATAATTACGGAGTCACAGCTTCATGAATTGAAGTGTAATTTGACTGAGAGGGTGCATGCTTCTACATGTATGGTTGTAAACATAATAGAATCAATGTTAATAACAAGGTGGAACATGTTTAGTCTCTGTTAGCACACCAATATTTCATTAACGGTGTGTAACGGTGCGTTTGTCAGCGACTATGATATGATATGTCATAGGAACTATTTTTGTTTTGTTTTTTTATTTGACATGTTAGGGTTATTTGCCAAAAACAAGAAATACAAGTGTATTACAGTATACCTTTAGTATATGAAAAATTATTGTGTTACTCTTGTGCATAATGTTGATTTTTTTTTTTGTGTGTGTGTGTCCAATCCTTTTTAGTTAGTTAGTAACTATGAATTTAAGCTGTCTGCATCAGACATTCACTAATATAGATAGCTAAATACATTGTACTTCAACATTCCACCTTTGGTCAAATAAAATGTGTATTTTGTCATATGTTCATAAGATATGGTTATCATGACTCTGTAACTCAAATTTGGCAGCTGATGTGTATGTTGCTTGATTTTTCAATGTTTTTATTTGATTTTCCATTCTGCATTTAGCCATCATCTCACGTCCTGAACCTGTCCAACATGGAGATGAAATCTGACCTGTGTGTCCTTCTTGAGAAAGGGACTTCCCCTGAACATTGTGAGTACATCATTCATGAGGCTTAGTGGAGCATGTGACTTAGATGAGTGGAGAGAGAGATATGAATGGTGGTGGTTATTTTACCTGGCTGCTAAGAAAGCATAAATGCTTGTAAGTAAGCAACCAGAAGGCCGACAGCTTTAGGTCCTCTCCGAGGGACCTGGTAATGAGGATTAATGTCTTACCAAAGGGCACTAGCGCATCGCCTTGGTTTCGAACCCAGGTCATCGGATTACTAGACCACTGCTCTACCGACTGAGCTATCACGCCTCAGAGTGTAATGTAGATGCAGAATCACATTGGAGTAAGAATGCACTGGAGTTCTTTTATCATCAATCTTAACTTGAAAGTTGCTGTTTATAAAACAGCTGTGATCATTATTATTGTTGTTAATCTTTCATATTGAAATTAAGATATCTCTCTTAATCGATTAAGAGCAATTATGGGGAATGTTTTCTTTTTATTGAAAACCGTTCTTTGTGTAACTGTACTCCTATTCTCTCTATTATCTAAAGGGTATATTTTAAAAGGTATGTAGAAGTATGAATGGTAGGTGTTGTATGTTCTTTTATATATGTTTCTTGTGGAGCAACATAGGGAATAGACAATGTTGCCATGACTCCTTAATACAGCTTTCCCCCTCTCTTTTCGCATATAACTATTCATACTTTGAGAAAGGCTCCTCTCTTGAATGCTCCTCAGGAAGTGGAGAATGTGCATACATTGTGTGCACTGTGCAGGCAAGCCTGAATCCAATGACCAAGGTTATTGTGTGTCTGTAAAGCGCTTAGAGATATCAGGGATACATTAAGCTCTACATAAATCTCGAATGTTATGATATATTTCTCATTGTTGGATTTGCCTTGTTGGTATTTTTCAGATGATGCGGTGCTGAAGTTCCTGAAGACCATGTCTCCATCTCGTATTGACATGGAGTTTAGATCATTGGATCCCGTAGGAGGTGGTTCTGTGCTGGCTATGAGGCAGTTCATCTCATTCCTTCACTACTCCTTGACTACAGGCAGGGACTATGAACTCATACAGGCATATCTAGCCCTCTTTCTCAAGGTAATACTTAAAGCCTGTCTGCACTAGTTTAGCCAGGGGGTATTGGACCTCCTTGTATGGTCACTGACAGGTGGTTATCTCATCAAATAAGCTCTCAATTAACATTTAAAAAGGGGACTATGGGAGACCAAAGGTTACTGATTAGGCATTGTTTGTTATATAGAGGGTGCAAGTAGCTACAAGTAGTGCAGTGGGGCTTTAATAGATACCCTCATCTCTGGCAGTCTTAGGACGTATTTAAGCATGCACTAATCTTGCTCTGTTTCTGAAGATTTGGCATGTATTGGAAGTAATCAAATGTTGATTGCATGGAATAATATACATATTTGTGGACCATTTTTTCTTTAATAATATGAAATGACAGATACCATCAATGATCTGCATGGCATTGCAACACATTTCCTGTGGTGCAACCACATTTCTCGCGCTCTCACATTGTTATTGTGTCAACCTCCAAACCAGTCTACCAATATTATCGTGAGATCTTGTATGAGGTCATTTAGGGATACTCCATGTTGATTCTGTCAATTGCAGATATTTGGCTGTGATCAAAGTTACTTTCATCCGGTAGAAATATTACAATTGGCTGCAAGAAATTTCACTTACAAGTCATAGTTTGTGAACTCCTTTCTTTCTTTTCAGAGCATGCACCTGACTACCATGTGTTTATACATTATGCTTTATGCTATTCTGGTCTTTGCTTCATGAATGATGGTTAAAATGTAAGGAAATGACCAATGTACGCAGATAATTTGAACCTCATACACCTTCAGTAATACATTGCACCGTCCTAATATCCTCTCTCTGTATTTCTGATTGTTATCCCTCTCAGCTTCATGGTGCCATGATTGCAAGAGAATCAGACTTAGCAGAGGAGCTCTCCTCACTCGCACAGATACAGGAGTCGTCATGGTTACGCATCCAGAGACATTTCGACCAGAGCCTGTGCCTTGTCAAATACCTCAAGAGTGCCAAAATATAATATAATATAGTGGACAATAGAAGAATTCATGATAAACTTTGGACCCCAATAAACGATAGTTCCATATGTGCTTCTTATTAATTATATACAGTATGCTGAGAGCCAGAAGGGTGTTAATGCTATTTATTTTGTGGTCTATTGCCTAACGCCCTTTTTGTTCAGCAGGGTACAATGTGGTAATCATAATAATACCAGTCTCTTGACCTCTGATGACCTCAATTTATTATGTTCATTGTATTTGCATCATCAATTTACAAAAGAATTGCTTCTTTTTTTTTAAATCAGAAATAACTGGCAATCTTGAGATTACAAACCGCCATTAACAAATAAGTTTATATAATGGTTATCTGTTTGCTTCACAGCTAAAAGTGTGATGAATGCAATATTTAAATAACAAATGGTAATCAGAATTATGAGTTATGTATTCCCTGAAAGAAAAAGAAAAATCTTTCTGTGCAGGGTAGAGAAGAGACAAGATTAGCACATTGATTATGAATATTCACAAATTTCAGATTTTAGTACTGTTGTAAAACCATATTTATTGTGCTTATGAAAGACGTGGAAGCATGAGGATACATAAGTTGTAAACTATCAAATGTGTTACTTATAGTATTCCATCCCTAGAGATCCACGCTGTTTAATAGCCCTATTTGTTTGACATTATCTAATAATTTTGACTTGAATTCAGTGAGATACGTAGGTACATCACCCCCTTATCAATGAAAACAAAGTACTTTCACTGGAAATTGAATGAATTAGAAATCATGTACATGTAATACAGTATTTTGATTATTTCATATCTTGGAACAAATTATGGATAAAACATTCAAACCTTGTTTTAATAATGTTCTCAAAACACAGTTTTGCTGGTCCCAATTTTTTTTTTCCCCTTTTTTTAGCCATTTGCTGTAAAACCAGAAAATTAAGTGACCTGGAATTTTTCGGATTGTCCATAGTTCAAGTTTTTTTAGGCAAGATATTTTCTGAGACTTGCTAAAATACAATGTTGAAATTTAGAGGCATAAAACGTTCATAAATCAGGACCACTTGAATAGGTCATGATAGTTTCTGGTGTAACAGTAACAAGATTTCTCAAATGTAACAAAAGGAATTGGTAGGGAAGGGTCAAATTCTGTATGTAATCGACCTATAATGAAATTCAGCAACCAATTATTCCATTTGATTTGGAAACAAAGATGCATTTTAACTATGTACATGTATTTCTTATTAAAGTAAACTGTAAGGAACAGTTTGTACATCTAACTCTCAAGTTTAATAATTGTCATTTCTTGTGTTTTAACCATAACATAATGAGCTGAGTAAGAATGATATATCTATAAAAAGCACAGATACAAATATATATCTCTCAATATAGGATATCTGATATCATGAGATAAAGAAGATTTTTCTCTATTCTTAACTGCTTTTTGAGTGAAAGATGATATCAGAGAGATAGACGAGTGAGAATGTGGACAAATGATAAAGAAATTTAATCATTCAATCTCAATCTCTAGTTGTAAAGACAGTACATATATTTCCATACACACATGTTTTAAATGGCATGGCATGACGTGGTATCCATAGCACTGTTTAAAAAAAGAGGGGTGGGGGTGACTAGGAACATAATTTTAAGAAGTGTTTTGGCATTTTCCTCCCACTTTTTCTCACTACATGCACATTACATGAAACACTGTACCACCTCTTAAAGCAATGTCCTCGTAAAAACGAATCAAACCCTCTTAACATTTAGCATTAAAAAATGATTATGTTAAATTAAAAAGAATACATTTATAACGAAACCTTTTTTTATTCGCGCACGAAGTTAGTAAGTTCTCGAAGCTGGGCTAGACAATTAACTGTCATGAAATATTAGATGACCAGGGTGTCATTGTAAACCCGAATAAGCTTCATGTATCCCTGGTTTCCTTCCATGTGTATTTGTTATCTTACTCATTTCCACTTTACTACCGTGATCTGGGAAAGGATCAAAGTACGACGGATAAACACGACTAAAATTGACATCTGATTCAAATGAAAAGTAGTGTTGCAATTATAAAGTTCCGGGTCAACGATTCCGAGGCACATCTCGATTTTCCTCCTTACCTTTATTTCACCGCATGTTTTTGCAATCACACTTTCATGTGTTTGTATTTTACACAATAATTAAGTACTCAGTATGACCAAAGGAAAGCCTTTCTATGAACATTTTCAGCATATATCCCGCTTATTTATCAAACAAAAGTGGCTGAAATGTAAAGACAAAAGAGAAACATATACGACATGTTTTTTATGACGTGAGAGATTGTCTCTGGAGGGGGAGGGGGCCTAGAAAGAGAAAAAAAGGAGAGGCGAAAGAGCGAGGGGTGCGAGAAAATAAGGCAAATTGGAAGGGGAGGGGAGGGAGAGAAAGAGATGTAGAAATAAGTAAGTTAAGGGGAAGAGAGAGAGAGAGAGAGAGTGGGATAGAAAAGAAGCGAGAGAGAGAAAAAGGTAGGCGGGTTGATCTGTGATTTTACATAACAGGTACCAGGTCTATACGCTATTCGTGGGTATATTATATATGATTTCGTGTAATATTGCAATCGAAAACGATGGTCTTAAATATTCATAGATATGAGGTTTAAATCTCACCAGGTATCAAAATATGACTTATTTCTCCATAAGGATGTAACCTGCATGGGCGGATCCAGGATTTTGTAGAAAGGGGAGGGCATATTTCCGAAAAAAGAAAGAGAAAAACTTAATGGTATGCCAATCGAGCTAAAAGGGGGGCTCGTGTCGGGCGAATCCCATGTAAATCCACCAATGATTGCATGTACAATATTTAAGACATAAACACGAGCCGTAATAAAAAGATATCCTTGTAAACATTTCGTCATTGTCCTCAACTCTAGACGGAACTCTAGACGGAAATACAAACCTTGAGGAGGAGATTACGGTCATTTCAAAACACCTAGCCTAATCCCCCTCGAAGAAATGAAATTTTCATGTTTTTACAATGTGTTGAGACTGAATTCGATGTGGAAAATTACTGTAAAATAATAAATATCAGCAGTAGAAATGCATTATAAGTGGGTAGTAAGCGATGGCAAACTAAACGGACTATACATATTGTGCAAATTGCAAATAATGAGGACTCCGACAGTGTAAGCTCAAGAGCAAATAGAGAAAACAATTTATTAATTCTTTACTTCATTTGTTTTGATTATGATATACATGTTTGACTCCCCGCATAATTTAAACGAGGTAATTCTTGAAAGAGTTTTGTATAAAGAATTACAATAGAAACGTATCTGAAAATAGGATCATAACCCCCCCCCCCCCCCTACATTTTGTGTACATTAGATATTTTTTTAACAAATTTTGATGATCTTGATCTTTCTAACGATTCAATTCTTTACTAGCTATGATTATTTATAACATGAATACTGGGATATAGGCGTAGGCCTATATACGACCCTTATAATAATAATAATGATAATGATACATTATTTTATAGAGCGCAGAAACTATATATCCAACATTAAGTATATATTCTACTGCGCTACAAGAGCTCCTGATATGCTTAGATTTACAGTTAGTTGAAAAGATAGGCTCTCAGTTTCTATTTAAAGATATTTACAGATGGAGATTTCCTGACTGCCAGTGGAAAGTTATTACATAGTTATTTCAATGTTTCCCATCAAAACATTTGCTATCCGTATTTTGCGCTTGCTGTGTCAACCGTTAGCCCATCTTCCGTTTAAACAAAAAAAGTCGTAGTTGCGCACAGAGACAATTCAGAGAACAGACTGCAGTCGCCAAGTCATAATACTCTTTCGTTAACGTGTGGACGTACTAGTGTTATATGTGTTTTGCCTGGAACATGGGAGGTATATTAGGGTACCTAGCGGATAACTTTATCGATAAGCTATTTCTTATTTAATGAAAGTTTGACTGATCGCATTAGCTTTGGAGGTTTATCTTTATGACTATATAGGTAAGTAAACTCGTCTTGCTTTATTTTGTTGCATATACAAAGTAATAAGAACACCGTGGTTAACGTTCTCGTCCATAATTCACATAGGACTGTTGATATATTAATATACATCTATATTTATAATCGGTATTATTTTCATCATACTATTCTGCATATTTAAGTTCATTTTGTGATATTTCAAGTAAACGAAACATAACTTCATCGGCAATTATCAATGGCGGGACCAAGCTTTTAGATGCAAGAAGGGCAGCTGAGTCGACAGAGACACACACAGACAATTTTATATGTGTGTGAGGGTGGGGGAGGGGAGGGGAAGGGGTGATGGCACAGTGACAAACCATGTCTCTGTTTATATACCCCATACACGTCATGATGAGCTAAAAGCCCTCGTCACTGCAAAAAGGCGGAATGCCTGCGCGTTAATAGATCAAATGAAACTTACGGTAGGCTCTTGAACGAAAGAGTGCTATCTATTCATCAGGCCCCTCTAGCATTTTGCGAAAGAACCTTAGGTAATACTGGACGCTTATACGGCATTTGTTTAATTTTGAAGCACGAGAAATGTTAAACTACCCCCCCCCCCTCCCCCCCCCCACATAAAAAAGGGTAACACTACATTGTGAAAGGAAACAAGACAGAAAAGCTGATAATTATTAGCACTTTTCAACCGGGGTCCTGAGTTTTATTCCGATGAGTCCTAAAATTACAGACAGACTTCCTAATTAGTCATCGAAAAACGAGAATAAAAGTACAACAGGTATCTGCGTGGTTTTACCTTGGTATTATTATATATGTTTGAGGTTTTATCGAAAAGATATTGAGCACGTTGACTGCAGCTCAGCTCACAAATGACCGAATGGCATATCAGCGAACGGTTTATAGATATGATAAAGACTCTAAAATAAACTTAACTTTTATTTACAGAAATACATCTCAATCGACCATGAAGCCATGGATATTAGAAGTGTGTTTACTGATCGCATACATGCAACTTATTTCTGGTTCAGGTATGTGTCCATTTCTTACGCATTTTGTTTTTGTTTTCGTTCTTGTTGTAAGAAGTAATTTTTATTCTGATTTAATTTTATTCTCTCAAAAAGAAAGGTGGACCCGTCAACCGTTAGATCGATGATAAAAGGCATCCATGTCAATTTTTGAAGAAAAAAAAACAAGTATAATGGTTCCGTAGTATATAGTTAGAAGAATCGTATTAGAAATCTAATATGCGGATAAAAATACGTGAGCCTAGAGTATTATGCATTATCATAATACTAATCATTATCAGACCCCCCCCCCCCTCTCTCTCTCTCTCTTTCTCTCTCTCTCTCTCTCTCTCTCTCTCTCTCTCTCTCTTTCCTCGCGGGCTTAGATTATAAGCAATGAATAAATAATGATAAATGATATATTCTTTATGATTCTTTTCAAATTGAAGTTTGAATTACATCCATGTTATTGCAATACATGTATATACACTTACTATTATCTGTCACGCTATCGTCAAAAACAATGATCATGACATGGTTAGACATCTAAACAACCTTTGACAATCTGGTTACCGGAAATCTAAACTAAGCGATGACTCACCACTAAGATTTAACAGCCACCAAAATATTTTGGGTTGGAAGTGAAACCAGCATGAGTATGACCGTTGACCCGTTTCACTTAATTCATTTCAGAGTATGTGAAAGTTATAACAGTTAAAATACAAATTGCACGTAAAAATTATTCTAAACGTATTACTTTTACATTATATGTAAATGAAAACGATCGAAAATTGACTTCCAAGATATCATTTTAGGCAATTTCAGAAGCCGTGTACGTCGAATGTGCAAATACAAATTATATTATGTAATATCAAAATGATTTATATTGACGACATAATAATAATAATAAGTTCAGCTCTTGAAAACTCTTTGCGATCGTATTTTGATGAAAACAAGTTTATAATATTGACAAAATATACACAATGGCGTAGTTATATAATAAGGCAGGGAAGGGAAGGGAATTACCCCTGGTGAATGGTAGAAAGATAAATAGGGAGAGAGAGGAAGAGAGAGGGGGAGGAAGACAGATTAAGAAGAGAGAGAGAGAGAGAGAGAGAGAGAGAGGAGGAAGAGAGAAGAATATAGAGAAACAATATAAATAAGGAAAAGAGATAACGAGAGATAATGAGCGATGGGGAAAGATGACACGACCCCCTCCCGAATCTTCCTCACTTCCGACCGCATTGAAGACAGGCAAGTGCCCCCCCCCCCCCTCCTTATGATTGGACAAACTGCACAAG